GGATTTGTGTACTGCTCAGCAGTTTGCTCCGTCCTCCTTTATGGCTGTGAGTCTTGGCTATTGAAAGTGGAAGGCACGAGTAGGCTAACTATCTTTGATCATAGGTGTCTGCGTTCTATCTCTGGTGTTAAGTGGTATATTAAGGTGAGTAATATAGAGGTTGGGCTTCGGTCTAGTTCTAGGTAAGGAGGGGAAGTCAGTAGACGAGGCTGTGAAGTTACACCGATTGAAATGGTTAGGACATGTGTTACGCATGCATGCCTAGCCATCGTCTCCCTCGACCGACGGGCAGTATTAGCTGACTGACATAGGATGAATCAGGTCGGAAAAGAGATAGCTAGTGGTGGTCAAACCAAAACATGGTTTCATGAGTCAATGAAGTTTAAGCCAGCGACGTAGGGAGATGTAGACTTCCTGACTGGTTGGGTTCCTCGAGATGGTAAAAATCAATGACGGTTAGAGAAAATCAGTGATACGCCTCAAAATTGTTCTCAATGGCTGTTGCAGATGCATTCACTCTTTGTGATTTATAAAACCCAATAAAATTCTATTGTTATTCCATATCACTATTTTTGTTGCCTCATGTTTTTGTTTATTATCTCCCTCTCTTTCGAACATCTCTTTACTCCCTCCTCTTGCTTTGTGTGCTACGTGGAGGGAGTGTGGCAACTCGAACTGCTACATATCTGTGCAAAGTTCTATGTTGAAAACAGTAAGTCAAGCATATCTGTTTGAGGACCATAAGAATCATTTCGGTTACAGAATAGCTTCCATTTTAGCTCACACTGATAAACCTTTTGTAGTTTTCCTTGTGAGATACACTGTTTATCTTTATACCTTGTAATTTTTATGTTTTGTTTTATTATTATTATTTTTAAAGTGTAAAAGATCCGAATCTTACACGACTAGAAAGGAAGCGACAAGCTGAAGAACAGCTTGCAGAAATGGAGAAAGAAATGCGTTCGGCTGAAGAACAACTTACTCGTCGACGTGAAGAACTCTCTGCATCAATCGGTTCAAGTCGTTTGTAAGTGACTGTCCATTATTGAGGCTTTGTATTATAGCGTTCACTTTAACTAATTATTATGAAAATGTTACTTATTTGATTATCCATGGGATTATTATGTACGTAGCATCTCACTGAGCTACTTAGGTCGAAGAAGAAGTGATCAGTATTTCAAGTGTCACGTAGTGTATGATAAGTATACAGTTGTAATAATTTTCTAATCTTCACTCCTCTCAAATTTCATTTTATATTTTCATCTTTCCCATCATTCCAATGGACATTTATAACTAATTTCTAGTGAAGTTAAGAAGTAGGAACCCAAAGTAAATGGAATTCGCTCAAACTCTAGATTAACTCCTAACTCCTACCTTCTTGCTATATTGAGGAATGTTCATTTTTAAAATCTGTAGAGCAAGTGATATCTGCAGTCTCAGCTACCTTACCATATCGAATGGTGCATCATTACTCATGAGTATACATAAGTGGGCACTACTTTTATTCCTGTAAGTATGTATGTATGGTTCGTGCCTTTCATTATCCCTAAGGACATTATGTTTAATTCTGTGTACTGCTTGTTATGATAGCTTCTCATAACTTCTCTTAAACGTAAGTAGTTGCATTATGGAGGACTGTGAGCTGACTGAGTTTGTCGTACTCGTAATTATCTCTAATAATACTGTCTAATGATGAGCAGTCCAAGTGTCGTAGTAATAGATAATCCAATGTTAAATAAATAGTTGTTCTCGAGATGTGATTCGTCTTTCCTCTTAAAAAATTTTCAACCAGTTGGTTAAAAGTTTGAAACCTTTTGCACCCATCGAAGCTTGTTATGCCAGCTTTCAAACAGTCAGTGTAAACTCTGTGCTTAATATTTGAAAAATATAAAAGATTTCCGCGTTGAATTTATTTCCCGAAGTGTATATTGTAACTACTTTTTAAAAAATATGCCTAATGATATTAGAAATTTGTTTGAGTTAATTTTATGTTTCTCGTTGATTGATTATATTGAACTGAAATGTTCTCGGTCTCTGTTGACATGTCGACTCCGAGCACCAGACGCTTTGGCGATGTCTGAGGATTGACATAATTTTATTTGGTGGATGGTTATCAGCAGTGAAATCCAGGATGCACATTTTGTCTAACTTAGGACTCGGCAGCTGGATGTACCTACAATCCCCCAGTGAGGGACGAAATGCACAACCTAGATTTCACTACTAGTCACCATCCATCAGATGATATGTGAAATCACTCATCATAATGAACTAGTCAGGTTCATTGTCATCCTTTATTCCACATCTCTTCTAGCATATTGTGTTACAGTAATTCTGAAATCAAGCCTGTATACTAGCATAAACAAAGGTCACTCTATTGTGTAGAAACGCATAGTGTGATGCTCAATCAATATGCAGAATTAATGAATGATAAAATACTTTGTCAAATGTGAAATTGTGTGGTTTTCCGCTGAATAGTTTTATTTTGTTTTTCACTGTATTACTCTCATAGATATTAATAATAATAATAATAATTGTGCGTATTTCTTTATCACAGGCAACCAATTGTTACACCGGGAATGCGAACACCTGGTACACCTTTAATCTCTAAACGTCCAGGTGGTCGACTTGGTCTGTAATTTTATCTCCCCAGAAATATCAATGTATATACATATATATAACCTTGTCAAATATATTCAGATGTATAATTTTAATTTTTAAATATATCTGCATTGCTAACTCGACTTCTTTTTTTCTTGTTGCCTTAGTACTCTAAGTGGATTGTGTATATGATGAAGTTTGTCTTCTGTTAACTTTTCAGCTTAACTGAATAACTTCTTCAGTCCAGTACACTAGCTAAGATCTGCCAACATAATTAAATTTAACTATGGATCTTGGTGGCGTCGGTAGAACTGTAGAACGCTTGTCAACCACACACGTGTTCCAGGGTTCGATCCCCCGCCAACGCACTGCTAAACCTCACTTAGCCGGTAAAAGACCGTTAAAGAGAGATGGTTGGGCATGAGGCTTGCAACCCCACCCCGTAACAATAAATACCACTGCTACAGAAACTTCAAAGCTCAAGTTTGAAGTCGTATGTTCCACTTGGAACATAAAGGAATAAAACAAAAGACAAACTTTAGTAAAATTTCCGGAAGTAATACTGTTCATCTGTCGTTTTTCAGCAAGTGTCATTTTGAGTATTTATTGGTTTTGTTTTAACAAAAATCATTGTAAACTCCTTATTACTGCTATTGTCATTCGTAAACGCTTCACTGATGAAAAAATGAAAACACAGAAATCCTTAGACAATTCATTCATCAATAGCAAAGTATGAAGATTTCGGACGTAGCGGAGAAGATATATAAAACCGACTGAATACACGACAAAGATTTCATTGCGCGAAATCGATTCATTCATACTTTTTAGTCTGAATCAGACAAACCAACCGTTAAATCCATGCTAATTTCGGTTGTCATGGAGATCAGTGTCTCAGCATGCCTAACAAAACACGCGTCAACATTCAATTACCTCCTCTGCTTTCAAGAAACTGCCAATAAACATTATGTGTTAGATATTCAAGTTTCATGCACCACATACGAAAAGAAGGGCGGGACAGATATCTGCATAGCGTTGAATTATTCCTATTGCACTTATTCTTCGTTGATTCAATAAATACAGCTTCCATTATCAATATTATTTTTCTATCTTTTTATATTATATTTCAATACTGTCATCTTATCCCATGCAATTGTGTAGTTGTGTGTAACTGGATTCAGTGCTATAGCTGAACTATTCTCTAGATCTATTATCTTACCAGGATCAACTTATCTGGATTTCCCTAGGTTTTTGTGCTCCGTTAATCTAATTGACGTCGATAAGAAATCTAGAGAATAGCTCATCGGTAGCACTAAAAGCAGTTACACAACAGCACAACCGGATGGGATAAGATGACAGTCTTAAAATCTCATATAACAAGATGGAAGGTGATGTTGATAATGGAAGCTTTATTCATATTCAATCAACTAAAAATACGTGCAGTATGAATGATTCAAAACTTATCCCGAACATTTGGAAAATTCTGTTTCCCCCAACGACAAATGGGAAGTAAGTAAGAGAAATATAGAAATCGAGTTTCGAATTCGTGTATTTACAGTTGATTTGATTATGAAGAATAAATCTTGTTCGACACGTCATCCATGTAAATAATACTATTTCCTCACTGTATGAGATATCCAATAGACTAATTAATATGGAATTCGTAATAGGCTTGAATTAGAATGTTATGTTTGTGTTATGATGTGCAATATTGATTTCTAGATTCTACAAATAAGTCGGGGAACAATCATTTCCTGACACGTCCAAACAATCATTAAACTAGGATAGCAATTTGAATGTAATATGCTGTTTTAGAAAGGGTATTTATATAATTCAGGTTATTGAAGTATACAAGCACCATCGTTTTCTGTATGTGTACATAATGGGCTCTGTAATGTGCATTTTGTTGTGTTTACCGGTTTGTTTCTCAAGGAAATGAGAAACCAGCGATAGTGTGTAGTATCGGGAAATTATTAATCCAGTGATCAAACAATTATTCATTTACAAGTATTGATTTGTAGGGATTTTGTTTGATTGGTTGGAGGATTTCATTATTAGCTAACATCGGTTAATGAACCATTGGAAAACCAGTCAGGGAGTACTGGACAGCCGTTTCGTCCCAGTGTGGGACTCTTCGTCAGTGCGCGCCCACCGGGGTTCGAAGCCAGGACCTTATGGTTACAAAGTGAGGTCCATTAAGCCACTGGAACCCGATCCATTGGCCAGCCGATGAATTCTAACTTCTGCCGATTCACGACATAGCGCGACCACTTAGCAACGTCTTCAATGAATAACTGTCCTCAGTGCATGATGAAATCCTCCAACCAATTATTCATTAGTCTTAAACTTTGTAATAATTCTTGTCTAACAGAGTCAGATGTTGCTTACTTGATATGAAATATCATATGTTTCAGACTTCAGTAAGTTTGTTCGTCGCCTAAAAAGTGTTGAGGCTGGTCGGTGCATTTTCATCTCAGTCAGGAACTTATCAGAATAAATGTTTAAAAGCTTCAATTAACTTTCGAATGGTACCAAGTTGTTGAAACACAGAACTTTTAGTGATGAAATAGTATTTGGATATCTTTGTTTTATTGTATTCATATATAGTGTAGCAATATATACCGTCAGCTGCTATAGGTTGTAGAGTAGCTCCACTTTTACATATTTTTCCGATACTTTACTCCGATGGTAGTAATCAATTCTTCGATGAATGTCAAATAGGTTTTAATTTGCAAACTTAGTGTGTAAACATTTTAATTTTATTATTGGTTTTATTTACTTGTTTAATTATGATTTTATTTCGTTTATATTTTTCCAAATTTAATGTTTAATTTAGTCGGGTGATAATCGTCAGTCTTCTCAGAGTGAACAACGAGTTGAAGAAGCTATCGGTATTTTCAAGGATGATAAAGAATTTGAAGAATTCGACAAAGAATGTATGCAATTTAGATTGAATTAAACCTGTTAATTCTTAAACTGGTTTATATTTTGGGTTTTTGAATATGCATTTCTTCATGAAGCGATACCAGTTAATGGAAAACTTGATGATTGCTTGTTTTTGGTTATGAAATAGATGTCCTGGAGTTCTGATGAGAAGTTGAAGCTGTTGGGTTCCATCATGTCGGTTGTGATGTAGATGGTTATCGATAGTATTCGATAGCGGTGGCACTATGTTGTGAGTTGATAAGAGTAAGAATTCACGAGTCATTGAATTCCACCCCCCCCCCCTAGTGACTAACTGATCATTTGCGTGTACTGATGAAGAGTCCCAAACTAGTACGTAACAGATGTCCAGTGCTCCTTGCTTTTTAATGATACTCTGCCTGATATTGGTTCGTGGCGAAATCTATACTTAAATTTAAATGCTTATTTTTCATCACCTTTGTGTTATCAAGTTTTTATGTGTTGTGCATGGAAAGTAGCTACATCTCTGTGATGTGGAGAATTTACAAAACTTATTAAGACAAAATAATAATTCGATGGATTTAAACACAGCACGTTTATAAACATTTCTTATTCAAAGTGCTGTCTGGTACCGAAATTGTCGTAGTAAATGTGATAATGACTTATGAATATAATACAGAAGATTCGTAGCTCAGGTGGATGATTTTTAATTAGTTGTGTTCCCTGAGCTGGTTGGTTTAATTGCAAAGCTTTCGTCGTCCTTCTAGGCAACATCTTCAGCGCAAGTTTTAGCATAAAATGAACTGATTCAAATTCTCCATGAATGGTAGAATTGTGTGCATCCGTGATCATTAATTTCACCATTTGTCTGGCCACCATCTTCGTGACTGGTAGTCGATTTACATCTGTATGGATCATTTCTTATTGACTTGGATTTTGAACTTTCTTGTCACGTGATTTACTTTTTATTAGTAGGTAAATTTGATCTATATGTTGCAAACCGAAAGATTCAACAGAAAAAGAAGGTAAAATTAATACCTTTACAAAGTAAATTGTATGAACTGCGATAAACTTTACATCGGTCAAAGTGGGCAACCCCTTCAAATCAGAGTACAAGAACACAAATTAGCTATAAAAAGATATGATATATATTCTTTCATATCAACAGTGTATATAGATAATTACGGACACCAATTTGATTGGGATAATGTCGAAATTTTAAATAGAGGAAACACCAAAAGAGCCAGAGAATTCTTAGAAGCCTGGTACTCAAGCGAACTGGCGATTAACAAACATATTAATATAGATCAAATTTACCAACTAATAAAAAGTAAATCACGTGACAAGAAAGTTCAAAATCCAAGTCAATAAGAAATGATCCATACAGATGTAAATCGACTACCAGTCACGAAGATGGTTGCCAGGAGACACAATTCTACCATTCATGGAGAATTTGAATCAGTTCATTTTATGCTAAAACTTGCGCTGAAGGGGGATGTTGTCCAGAAGGACGACGAAAGCTTTGCAATTAAACCAACCAACTCAGGGAACACAACTAATTGACTTGTGAATATGATGAAAGTAGCATGTAATTCAGTTTTAATTGGGAAAGGCTGCATTGACTTGCAAGAGGCTCCACTTTTATATAGTATCCATGATTTAGAGATCCAATACTACGCATGTTGAGTCACAAGCTGAAGGATGTGAACAATAATGAATAACTCACTGTCTTAGTAGGTTTGCGAGATGAACAATATAACTTAATTTCCTTTAAGTTATAGGGATGTTATGTATTATTATTACCTTGGGTTTGGAGTAAAACAGAGGGCTTAAACCAAGGTACATCTCCATTTCACCGCGATCTCTGTCGTCCTCTTCATCTGGCTCCATATCACTTTCCGACCTGTGCGTATCTCGTTGTTCCCCATTCGGGTCCCACCTGAGGCGCCTGCCTTACGCATGATGTCGCCCAGCGGTCTTCTCAGCGTGTATGCGATCCATCTCCATTCACTTTTGCATATTTGTTAGGCTGTAAGCGTTTGATTTGTTCGTTGCCAGTGTTCCTTTCTGTCTGGCTATCTAATCTTCAGCATGGAGCCAGCGAAGTTAGCAACTGTTGATGAAAGTTTGTGTCCTGCTGGAAATGTTTTCTGCGGTGCGTGATCGACGTCTGTGAACAGTAGAGAAGCACTGATTGACTTGATATAAGTTCTGAAAATTTGGATAGTGTTCGTGATGTTGAGTGCAGGAGGTTTCCACAGTGATTTCAAATTAATCAAGGTCTATCTTGCTTTTTAGCTCCTACCTTTGACATCCTCATCTGCGCCTCGATAGTGGAAACGATGCTGTCTTGTTTATAAGTAAAAGAGGTGACTTTTTTCACATATATCTAGGTAGCATCATATGTAATGAAGGGAATTTGTCATTTTCTGTGTTTGGCGTTGTGTTTTCTATAAACATAATGTTATTTCTTTGGTCCGAACTTCCTCCCTGTTGAAGTACTTTCGTTCAGATGTCCACTTTGAAGGTCTTCTTAGAGACAAGCCTTTAAAATACGAGAAAAATATCCATACATGATTGTTTTGTCAATGTTTTATGTTGTATTATGCTTAAAGCTTATCGATTGCTGTCGTAAAATTATATTTGGATAAAAGTCGAGCTAATGTAGCCTTATTCATAATTTGATATTCATTCCTACTTTTGAATTTATTTTATACCCGTCATAATAATTAGCCTGGTCAGCTTCTGAGGAGGAGACCGCTGATCTGTATGTTTGGGATGATAAATGGGATTGTGAAGTTGAACTAGACGATCAATTCACTGAATATTTAAGGTAGGAGAAATCGATAATCTAGTATTTATCATTCATTCATACTTTTTCTGATTTCATGAAACTTTTCTGAAATTGTGTTCTTTTCAGTGTTTGATTAAAGAGACCACTGGTTGACATCATTTAGAGAATCATCAAAAACCAGGGAGTACTGGACAGCTGTTTCGGCCTAGTTTGGGACAGCTCAGCAGTACGTACTCGTAACCCACCAGGGATCGAACATAGGACCATGAGGTTATAATGCGATCCTGTTGACCATTCAGCCACCGGGACGAGACCCAATGGCTCATGAATTCCAACTTCTGCCAATTCGCGAAATATAGCACCCATGCAATAAGAAGACGCAATTTGTCTGAATCATGTAACGTTTTTGCGCAACACTTATTTCGAACAATCTAACCACACACCGACCTGTCATGGGAACACATATGAAATTAATATGATTTAAGAGGTGAGAAAATAAATTTAGGTAAAGTTAAAAGGACATATTGAAGGTCAAAATAACAATAAAGATCGCTAAACCAAATAAGTGAGGTAATAGTATATCTACCCTGGCTGGTATCGGAACAAAGTTTAAACTTCCTAATCACCAACTAGGGCTTCCACAAACCTCAAGATACGCTTTCGCCCAAACACGTTGTATAGCTAGGTTTAAAAAATGTGTAAACATCAATTTTATGTCTTGTCTCTATAATATGTTTCGCTATAGACGAGCTAGGTCGCCTGTTCTCACCACTTATGGGTTCTGGGGATTCTATTTGCTTCTGAAGCGCTTACTTGCAGAGATCAATGTGTTTGAATTCTCCATGAAATGGTATCTCCTGACAACCTCTGTTGTGATTGGTTGTTAATTTGCATCATGATTCATAGCCTTTATTGACTCATAATTTGACTTTCTTATTATGTGACTTATTCTTCTTTATCAGTTGATAAATTTAATTTATAGCAATGTATTAGTTTTACCTGCGAATTCGTCTCAGTACCATGCTTTTAGGTATTCGCTGGCATTTCCGGTCTTTCTATTGTTTAAAATTTCTGCATTTTCTCAGTCAACTTGGTGTCCATACATGTCTACATACATCAGTATGAAAAAATACATGTCTTGTCTTTTAACAGCTAGTTTGTGTTCTTGCGTTTGAAATTGCAGGGGACACCCACTTTGACCAATGTGGTGTTTATCACACCGCATGCGATTTATTTTTTAGATGGTGTTGATTCTCTTTTTTTAGTCTGTTTATTAGATGTACCACACTGTGAAACAGTATTATTTACTGGATGACGTTTCGAACAAAATTTATTGTTCATAATCATATCAATTGTAATCACACGACTTTGAAACTTGAGTTTTATAGTTTTCTTTGTCCTCTCCTATTTGTCCTAGGGGTAGTAGAATTTTCCAGATATCTGGGACAGGTGTTGACACATTCCTGTTACATGTATTTGCAGTTGATTCGATAAACAAAGCTTCTGTTATCAATCTCTCCCTCCACTCTGTGACATTAGATTTTAAAACTGTCGTCCTATCCCATCCTATTGTATGGTTGTGTGTAACTGCATGTAATGCTATTGCTGAACTATTCTCTAGATTTTTTATCTTATTCGGGTCAAACAATCTAGATTTTGTTAGGTTTTTATGTTCAGCTAGTCTGACTGCCCCTGTTCTACTAGTTTGACCTATGTATTTGACCTGACAATCATTGCAGGTAGGGTATTAGATAAACTAAATTGTTTTATTTTAAAGGTTCTACAGGATCCTTCAACCGACAAAGCCTGTTTCTAATTGAGTTTGTGGGTTTGAATGCTGAATATAGTCTACAAATATATTGTATCCTTCAGCTAAGTAACTAAATTGCAAACGTTGACCACTACCCAATTACCGACTTCTGAACGTTTTCGTTAATATAACTTACATTTATTTTACGAAGACTATTCTAAGAAGTATTAACACTACTAATATGCTTCGATAGAAGGGTGGGGATCTGACCACCATAAGTCTAAGTCTAGGATATGTGTAGAACAACTGAGACGAACTGCTTAACATTTATACACATCCAAAATTATAGAATGATCTTTTAATGTTCATAACATAAATAATATAGTGTTTCGCGTGTTACTGTTGAAAAGATGTATGCGAAATATACATCGTAGTTACAATAAGCTCTCATGTTTTTATGTTCATTGTAAGTTTATTGTATTGTAGACGAATAAAGTAGTTTTGTCTATACTGACGTTGCTTTTTTTCTTTGTTGTCTAGACAAGAATTAACTAAACTTGGCCATATACAGAACTCAACGAGCTGATATATCTAGAAAAGACTTTCGTGTAATTTATCATATGTGTAACATATTTTTTGTTACAATTGTTAATGTTTCAACTGAGAGTGTACATGTGAATTGATAATAATCTTCCCTCTTCTACCCAATAAAAGCATGTACCGTTTCTTAATCGACACTTTAAAAAAAATTATTTTTGAATGCATTAATACACTAAAGCATTCTGTATACGAGAAAATGTCTGTAGATTATCCTTCATTTGTAGATCACTAATCCCGAAATATATTTTGCCTTCTAAACGATCAAATTGTTGTTTTGTTCTGGCTTTCTAAGGGTTCTTTAGAAGGTGAAGGATGTTGACGAGAACGTAGGAGATGATATGATGGTAAGCACATGTGATTCCCCAGAGCTCCCCCCTTTCCATTATATATTTCCGGATAAGTAGTGTTGCGACGTGATGTGCGACCTTGACCGACTAAGGACCGTGCGCGGAAAATCGAGCGTGCCAAGTTTTGAAGGTGCTTAACCGTGTATCTTCCACTTAACCAGGCGACTCAAACAGTGAAATCTGTGGGCTAATACTTTTGGGAGGTTATTTTACTTCACGGTTCTCTGATTATGTCGTCTGAGAATATTTAGGAGAGGAGTGTAAGGTATCATCATATATGTACCTTCATATCACCGTACTTTATGTGTTCTTCCACATCCTTCGTATTCTCAAAACCTATAAGGCATACACTGGCCTAAAACTTCGTTCTGAAAGAGGTCCTGCATTGGTGGAGTTAGAGGGACCTTTTTATAACTGAACGATAACTAAATTGGTAACGATGAATGGTTAGCACAGTGATGATAATGTTAATAACTTCTATTGTGTGTGTTTGGGATGCCAGTACATAGGAATCGAAAATTTTAACGGTGCATTTGTTTCTCATTCAAATTTTTAACCAGTGGAGACTTTTTGATATGGCAACCCAACTTGCATACTAGACAACAGTTAGTATTACGTGATTAGAAAGAAAAATAGGGATAGTTCACATTTGGACACTGGATTTTTATTCAGATTAAGCTTATTCCGATTTTTAGTGTAATTGAAGAAACACTTAGTGACATGTTCTCTGCAATGACATTTAAACATTATTTAGTTATCAATATGTTCTTTCGTTTTATATATTAAATTATCTCTGAAGCATTTTTCTGTTGCTGGTCACGTAGTAGTTGTACTGTGGTTGCAGAAGAAATGCGAAATAATGACCGATAATTTTTATTTTATGATCAGTGAAACGAATTGTAAATTTATCTGCCCGCTTACTCCTGAACGTTCGGTTCAGGAATGTTTCTGACTGACAATAAGCTCTCAACTTTGTCGGCAGTTAACATTATCCATACAAACTCCTAAATAACTGTGCAGCTTTGACTGATGTGTCGTTAACTCACATCACATAAGTAATTTTCAATGTTTATTAATTTAATCCATGAGATTCAAAATTTTATGGAACTATTAGATAAATGGAGATGTAAAGTGACGAACTTTGGAAGTAAGCATACAGATTATGAGAATTGGCGGTTTTTGAAATTTAAAAACATGCGAAAGACTGTGGTGGGAAATCTGAAGTAAGAAGATCCATCAATTTCGTATTTACAAATCTTCACAAGATTCTGATACACTGTGCGAAGACAGCAGGAGCAAGCATTTAGCATTAACAATGTAAAGTAAATGACTTCTTAATTATAGTAAAGGAAACCTTTATGATTCATTTCATACCCAAAAGTTAAGCATTAGTCATGAGGTAAAATCATGTTTTACGCTGAGGAATAATTGATGTATGTCACAATTATGAACAGATAGAAACGTCGGGTTTCCTGAGAGATAGTAAGAACAGGTGATGATAAATAAATTGAATCGGTAAGTCACAGGCTCAAAATGTAGTAAAAGTGGAGGAGGTAATGGTATTTATACTGTTGTTTGATGTAATATATTACGTACTTATCTGAAATTAGAAGCCCATAAAATGTACTTACATTAAAAGAGAATTCATATATAGGCACTGCCTTACTGGAAGTTTCTTTATATATGTACATATATGTATTTCTGTTGGATCTCTGAGTGTGTTTCTGCAGAAATCACTCCATCTCATGAGCCGCAGCATGAAACCAAATGAGAACATTCGCCTTATGACAAGTAAAGCAATGCATTCAACTTGAATCGATAAATTCCCAGCTCACAGCTTTTATTATTCAACATTTTGAACTGACCTCCGACACGCTTCGTCAAAGTGGTATTCGCAGGTGTCAAATAAAAGTTGAACTACTTGACCTTCTTGGTCATGCCATCGACCAAAAGGGTGTCTCAATTTTGGTCAGTGCAGCCTAAAACTGTGAAACACCTTCGTACTTTATTGCCCTGAAATCGATCGATTATTATTATTATTGATCTTTCATCCCTAACTCAGCGGTTATAATGCAGTTGCTGATAGGTTCACATCCATAGAAAACCAAATGGGCAGATCTAGAGGCGTCCGCTGAGGACGTATACGTCAAAGTTAAAAAGCCGTCGTGGATACTGACATGCGGATAATTCAGGTTTAAAGAAATCATACAGGATCTCAGCTGAAGCACCCGAACATGCAGTCGGTACAGTTCTAAAATAACTGGCTAACATGAAGTAACATTTACTTGTCTTTTTCTTAGGGCCATTTCAGATAAAGGAAACAAAGAGCAGTGAAATTCTAACTGTATACTATGCCAGCCAGTGGCGGATCATGGATTCTTTATTTTCAGTGACCACTAACAACTCTAGAAAACTCTGAACTGAACATCAGCTGTTTATTCACCAAAGGAATAAAACCAACTTGACCCCACTGTTGTTGTTCATCATATGTGCTAGCAATATTCTGAACATCTACCAAGTGCATATTCCGGTGGTTAGAAAACTCCTTTCAAGTAATACTAACGTGGAAAGCAGCATTACTGTACATTTGCAGTGCTCCAATGCAGTACCTTCGAGAAGAGAACATCAAGAGAGGTTCAGAGGCAGTCAGCAAGTAGTAATAATTTAAGCAAACAATGTGCGATAAACTCAGGGATCATTTCTTATTTTATTACTAAGAATCGATCTATAGTCATTGAATCAACGGTTAGTTCAAGTTAATCATAGTAAAGATCGGCAACAGGGATCTCTGGAAGCAAACCAACGCAGCAGGAACCAATTGTGAAACAAATAGGCAGGAAGAAATGGAAGTAGGTGGATTGGCCATGCTCTGAGGAAACCATCAAGTGACATCACTAGACAAGCCATTGCTCGAGTGGCTGCCTCGGCCTACTCTAGCAAGAGAGAGTTGTGAAATGGGGTTAAAATACCCTGAACTGACTGACGCAATCGCTGCAACCAAACCTACTTCAGGAAGGCGTCATCGATCTTGATTTCAGCAACCAGCTTTTTCATTCGCGTAGCATTTGAGTGGGCGCATGGTCACCAAGAGTTCTTGCACTTCCTGTTGATTTGTGAGTGCGATTTTCTTAATAAGGGCAACTTTGAGGCTACACACAGGTTAGCAGAAGGATCATCAAGAAAGTCAGAAAATTGCAATACTGTACCTAGCTAGTAAATACTGATTAACGAACTCGAAGTAAAAAGGCTTGAGACTGGTAATGTATCCTGATAGGAGTTGCAGTTTATACAGATAAAATATCAATTTTAATAAACAAGAATGTTGTACAACTTATCTGGTGCTTTGACTGAGTAGTAAGTTCAAGGAGTGCGCTGAATGGTAGCACAACAAGGGAGCGAACCACGTGTGTACAGTTGCGCCGGAAATCACAAGATGATGTAGAACCACAATGAATGAATCGTTAAAACAAAAATTTAAACATTCAAGGCGCACTACACATAGGTTGTGATACTATTCTTCATGATAATTTCGCAAACACTTCTCATCTCTCTGAGCTTCAATTTTATCTACCTTGCGTCTTCACTGCGTTAGACGGCTTATCTAACCCAGGTATCTATTATACTATCGAGTTCACCACTAGAGAATAAGGCATTACTTCGTGCGCTTACATCTTGGCAAGACTGCAGGTTAAAAAATGTACAAAGTAGCTCACTTGACCATTTTCTTCCGCTAAATGCTTTCCTCGAATATGTGCACGTAGATCAGGTTGGAATTCTTGCAGGATCTCACGGATTTTGACGTGGTGACCATTATACTCCAGTACCTGAAACAGAACTCCTAGGGGACCTATCTGCTGAAACAGGCTTTTCAGAAAATGGGTTGCAAATTTTTCGGCCCCTATCCTCTAAGACAGCCGACATACAGAGAACAACTAGAAAGCTACCCATTTGCAGCTTTCAGTAAATCCTGGGAAGTACATTTTTCAGAATAAATGCTCAAAATCCCGAAGCCAAGATTTTGACGGTCCACGGACATGCTCACACATCTATGTCTAAAAATTTATTCACGCATATTTCGTCTTTAGCACTGGCTGCGGTGGCCTATGGAATCTGCATTCGACTGGCCATAAACAATCATTAAACGCTCAGACAAACTCCTCACGAAGGCTGAGTTAGCATAGACCTGTCTGTCGGCATACTCAAATGGCAATACTATCATCCCTGATGCTGTCAATGCGCTCGGCAATGCACCAGAAGAATAACCTTCAGTAATTGAAGAGGCAAGTAGAACCACGAAGCCAGCAGAAGTTATTAACGCTACACAACATGAAACGCGTTCCATATAAACTGATAGGTTCCTAGGGCATACTCATTTTTATCTAACGGGATTAGAAGAACGCTAGTCACCTTCCATCAGAAGTGTTTTTTGTGATTGTCTATTACTATCTCACTTGATTTTCCCTGTCTCCTGCGATATGAATGAAATCCTTTTTATTGATTTGCATTTATTCTGTTTACTGGTTTGAAAACTAAGTGTTTTCTGACTTTAGCCTTTCTTGTGCATTAATCTTATGTGTCCAGATCTAGACATTTTTTGTAACTTTTCGTTTAATTTCTAAGTCTTCTTTTTTCCTATTCTAGGGACAACAAGCACTGGACAATAGGTAGACAAATCGCGCGAGATAACATACGATAGTTCAATGAATACTTATACATCACATTGTCACAGTCAGCTGACCAGTGAGCCACTCATTGCCATCGCCTCAATCTAAAGTAAGGCGTCATCAGTGAATGATTGCTTGAGATCGGTTTCATCACTGGTTCCTTATAATCCCATTAAGAGGAGGTGAGTGAGCCGCAGCGGTAAGTAATCTCCCGAAACTTTTAGCCAACAACTATCGTCATTCAGTATTCGTTGGTGGCCATTGCTGTTCGAGTGGAACTGTTAGTCCAAATATGAGCGGATAGCCATGTTCGTCAATGGGAACACTGTTAAGCCACACTTGGTTGTTATTGCGCGCACTCTATCTGGTTTAATAGACACTCCTTCTTTACTTTTGGTCCAGAAACATAATATGTATTTATAACGACTCATTTGTAGTTTCACTTCAACATACGAACAGTTTCCTGGTCTAAGCAGATAAAGTACTTTGGAAGCTGAAGAATATACACTTGTGTTGGCATAGTGTGTATCTGATCCCAGACTTCAAAAGAAACTGACGTCACACCGTACAGTGATTTCAAAAGTGTGAAGGAATGTATCTTCAATTTAGAAATTCTCCGAAATATTTGAACCATCCCATCAGTTTGGAATTCAATCGCTGGTGAATTTATAGATTCATGTAACCTTGTGAATAAGGTATTGAATGTTTGTATTAGTTAAAACAAGTCAGTTTGTTTCAATTCCAGCGGTTGTGATTTTTACATGTAGCGCGAAAGTGAAAGCCTGCTGTGTTTTCGAGGTAGTCTGATTATGTTTTACTGTTGTTTACAGGTCATTTTGATCTGATAATTTTGAGCTTCAGAGTTTCTGGAAGCTTTTTGACGATAGTCACTTATGTTCCGGATATAGAAATCCAATTAATGCTCTCCTAAGTCTTGTAAAACATATGGTACCATATGTTTACACCACGTGGTGTATAAATATATGGGAATCAGTAGGATATATTTTAATTTGGAGGAAAACATGGTTATACGCATTCAGCCCTTGGAACTTTAAGTGGTAAGGCAAGACTTGGCAAGTTGAATTTGGGTGCACTGAAAACATTCTATAGAAGTTTAAGTAACAGCGGATCTAATTGCTATTATCAATTACTCAGCTCATCCAGCAACAGCGTATATTGTACGATATTTTTTCTCTTAAGCTTAACAGCTTTCACATGAATTTTTCATGCCTTATGTATTCTGGTGTCTTGATTTGGATGCACCTAACACCTTTGTTTATAAGAGGATCCTCTTTTATCTACATCGGCATTGTCAAGAAGCGGCTGACTAATAAATTCCTTGAAAACTCATCGCCTGTGGGTCAATGTGCTTATCGCTTATGAAATCCGAAGACAACCCGAGGAGAATGGTCATATCAGTAGTTGATTATGAAATCCCTCAGACATAACCAAACTATATGTTCTTTTATTACCAGTAGATTCTTGTGTAGTCAACATCCGTCACTTTTACTAGTAGTCTTTTGGATCGTCAGTGCTTTTCATATAAACGGAAAAGTCAGTCTTCTAAGAAAATGTCTCAACATAAATAAGAACGAGAAATAGACTACAACCATTACTAACGACTGATTAGAATTTCCAATATCCATTACCGTTTTTCCGAGCTAGTATAAACCAATTTGATTTCTTTGTGCTCGCCTCTTGATTGTGAGGTGTAGGTTTTTGATCTTCAGCAAACTTCTGCGTAGCTCGTCCCGCCACTCGACTGTCGTAGCTTTGGTTGACTCCAAAAGGAGTAGTGCTGGGATTAATTATATGTGGTTTGTAGTATGAAGTGTGTTATACTACTGTGAATGGAGTTGATCCTTTCACTAGTTAGTCCTCCGGTATCGTCGTCAAAATAAAAGAGATAATAATAATAAGATATAATTAGTGTAGGTTATTCAGACTAACAGACAGAAAAAGAAGTAAAGAAAACGTAAAAACAGATAGCTGATTAAATTTGAAGTTGATATATACATATATTTCGGTAATAATAATAAGTGTAGTTGGAGTTGTCAGGAGAGTAAGACGGGAGAGAATGTAAAGAAGTAAAACGACGAACTCAGTTGTCTACCCTTGAATGGTGTATGGGATTTTAAGGGAATAGGCCATTTGGACGCAGTCCTTGTGTCGCTGCATGATTGTCCAGCCTTCGCTTAAAGGCGTTCACAGACGGTGCCATGGCTACATCTGCCGGTAAGGAATTCCAGGGACGGCAAACCCGCAGTGAAAAGAAGTGGGAGCGCACCCGGGTCCTTGGGCTCTGGTGAGCTATCTTTCTGGGATTTCTACGAGGAAGCCTATACCTACTCAATGGCAGAACACCTTTGTTTGGGTGATTCTGGTCGTTTGTTATTTTGTAGGCAGTAATTAAATCCCCCCTTGGACGACGGTAGCTAAGTGTGAATAGGCCTATTTTCTTTAGCTTTTCGTCATATGGTTTGTTTCGGAGGCCCGTCTTTGGAATCTTTCCAAGAGATTGGCGTCTTTTCTAAGCACTGGGGGTGCAATAATATTATGCACTTCAAGGTGTTGTCTGACGTATGTTTTGTACAACCTTAGAAAGAGCTCAGGAGTGAGTGCACCTAACTGTCTATGTGAAAAGTGTATGACCACATATGCCCTTGCTACATCCCCCGTGTAATTTACGCTTGTGTCCATTTATTCCGTTAGAACTAGACCTAAGTCGCGTTCCGACGTTGTGCAGGACAAGCTTTCATTGCACAGGGTGTAACTTGCATTCTGCAGTCTACGTTTTTGATGGTGTAATTCACTCTTATTTGCATTTGGGCGGAAATTTGTGTGTAAGCAGTAATGGGGAAATAACCACACTTTTCTTAGCAGACACTTTTTAGGATAATTGAACATTTTAGCCTAACAAGACACTGTCTACATTTGATAGATATACGGTTGGATATTGGAACTTTGTCTCTAGCATTAGTCAGGCTATAAGTAAGTACGATAGTATTCTACGTGGTCGCGAATGAAACATTTTGCGAGCTAACAATCAAATAGTTTATTTAAACTTCTTCTTGAATATCTTATTTGCTAGTAACTGAGATACTGCATACATCACTAGCTAGTGTTTCTACGGATCTTGCTAAATCTGTTTTTTATTGCTTACACTATGTTGTAAACGTTGTGATGGTAATCTGAAACGGAGAATACAGCATAAAAATATTTGTGTTAGATATTGAATTAAAGGAAAGCTTTCTGAAGGTAACTATTTCATCGCCCAAAAGTGGCCAGACAATTTAAGATATCGACAGTGATGGCTATCTGTCAGAAGTAAAAGCCATAACAAATGTAAAAGCCATAAACAATGTGAAACAAAGCAGTATATATCTGAAAACAGAAACATCTGGCAATGTTGATGATAATAATATTAATAATAACAGTATGAATAAATTGAATGTTCGAGTAAATGGTAATGATGTAGGTAAACTAATTATTCATGAGCAGACAGATTTAAATTAAGTTTTCACATAATTTTTTCTCTTATTTTTTCTAATTCCTGAGGCCAAAACTACAGCGGATCACTGTTGCACGAAACCAGTCTTCAAAGTTGCTGACTTGAGGCCTTATCTATAAGGTGGCAAGGCAAAGTCATGAACTGTATTCTCGTAGTTGTTAGTGGCCTGTAGAGGTTCATAGTCCAATTATTTGCCTGTTTGTATTGTCCTTTTTTAACGTAATCGCGGGAGCAATTTGCATCTTGAGTGACGGTGATGTTTCTCACTGGACTACATTGACTTCTAGCTTAAAGATAAAGATTAAAGTGATAGGGCGTGTCGACCACTTCACTTATTTCGGAAGTTGCATCAGCCAAAGCCAGCAGGTTGGTCGCTGACGAAATCTCAGAACAGATACAGAAGGCTCGTTTCGCATATACCAGTTTACGCAGTCTCTGGCTTAGTAGATATGATATCCGGCTGGCTATCAAGCAAAGGATGTGTGTACTGCTCAGCAGTTTGCTCCGTCCTCCTTTATGGCTGTGAGTCTTGGCTATTGAAAGTGGAAGGCACGAGTAGGCTAACTGTCTTTGGTCATAGGTGTCTGCGTTCTACCTCTCGTGTTAAGTGATATAACAAGGTGAGTAACATTGAGGTTGGGCTTCGGTCGAGTTCTAGGTAAGGAGGGGAAGTCAGTAGACGAGGCTGTGAAGTTACACCGATTGAAATGGTTAGGACGTGTCTTACGCGTGCATGACTAGCCATCGTCTCCCTCGACCGACGGGCAGTATTAGCTGACTGACATAGGATGAATCAGGTCGGAAAAGAGAAAGCTATTGGTGGTCAAACCAAAACATGGTTTCATGAGCCTATGAAATCCACAACAGTTAGTTTAAGCCAGCGACGTAGAGAGATGTAAACTGCCTGACTGGTTAGGTTCCTCGAGATGGTAAAAATCAATGACGGCTGGAGAAAATCAGTGATATGTTTCAAAATTGTTCTCAATGGCTGTTGCAGATGCATTCACTCCTTGTGATTTATAAAACCCAATAAAATTCCATTGTTATTCCATATCACTATTCTTTTTGCCTCATATCTCTGTTTTGAATCTTTTTTTTACTTCTCTTGCTTTGTTTGCTAAGTAAAGTGTGGCAACTCAAGCTGCTACACACCTTAGCAAAGTTCTATGTTGAAACCAGTCAGTCAGTCAGACGTTTCTCACACATTTAAAAATCAAAATACTCATCTCAATTTAAGAATAATCATTACAAAAATATCGTGACATGTTTTCTTTTTCAAACAAAAACAAGTTAACACTTATCAATTCTGTTGTTTCTTATGTGTTTCCTGAAGTTATCCGACTTATATTTGCGAAGATTTCTAACTTATAATCTACCCACATAAGCTGACTTCAGCGACACATTGTACTTGTATATTTTTAGTTCTTGCAGTACTAGAGAAAATGTTTACTACATCTTGTTAAGTGGGCAGTCTCGGTTAAGCAGTCGGTTTCTCGCATTCATCTTAAGCTGTATTGTACAGTTTAAATCTGTAACAGAAAAATTATCGAGAATCCTTCCTGTGTAAGTCGAAGTTGTTCAAAGGCTAATAGCAGCGTTCATTTCACTTAATGTAACTATTCATGCTCATGACGTCTACCATATGATTCATTTCATTCATATGTTGTTCTAAAAGTTAAAGTCAGCTCACTGAAGGTTTTCCATTTTCTTTACCTAGTTTGAGTAGAATTTGATTTTGCAAACTATTTGTACTTTTGAGCTAAGCATACACTATTTTGCTTGACTTTGTGCATTGTATGACATTTTTATATGAAAATCCAACTTGAATTGAAATTCTACAGTCGGTTGATGCCATGTAACTCTCTATTTTCTTGTATAAATAGACTATGACAGGCACTTGTATAACTGCTCACGAGAAGTTTACGAAGTTAAGGAAGCGACTTGACCAACTCGGATATAAACAACCACTAGGCTTAGACAGCTTACCATTAGTAGAACGTTTATTTTGTGATCTTGTCTGGACTACTGAAAATTTAAGGAAGGTTAGGACTGAACTGTCATCGCAAATTCAAATACGATCCACAGTTGAAGATTACATTGCTCCATATAAAGCAGACAACGGCAAGTTAATACGTGAAAACAATGAAATTCATCATCGTCTAATGACTGTTTGTCAAGACTATGAAGAGAAATTTCGAGGTACCATAAATATTTCTAATATTGTCTGTAGGTTTGAAAAGTGAATGTAGGAGGCTGGAAAATGAAAATGAAGACATGAAATATTTTAATTCCCAATGTCTCGACAAGATTCACACGTATGAGAGGGAAGCTAAACGTATGGTTGAACAAATATTACATTTGCAAGAGAAAAATTTCCAAGCTGTAGTTTATACTCCAGGTAAGCTGTTCAAATAATGTGATACATTTGGTTCACTAAATTTTTTCAGATGTAATCCTTTTTGTGTGATAATGAAGTCACTTTTTAGCAGTTATTTTCAAAATATTATCACTGAGCAGTTTATGTAAAATATTATTACTATTCCCTTGGGTTCCAGCTGGAACATATGGTTTCAACAACACATCTCCACTTTTGATGATATTTGATAGTTGGAGGCAATCGGCAGGAAGCCTTGACCTAGGTTTCGTCAGTTGCATATCAGCAAATTAAGACTATGTCCTTCTGAGATCAACCACTGAGCTATTCGGGCCGCGATTGACCTCCTGTAGACTGTAGTGGTATTTTGATTGGACACTAGTAACTAGTGTGACGTGTCTAGTCTTTTCTTTGGTATCTCCGCTTTGTTCTATTTTCCTTCCTCTTCAGCTGGATCCGCGATCGCCCAAAATCTCTCACCTCCTCCTCGCACTATATCCTCCATGTCACCCTCGTACTGACCACCCACTCGTCGCTTCCCATTTGGATTCCACTCCAGCGATGGCCTGTATTGCGCGCGATGTCATTTGACGGCCTCGTCAACATGTGCTTAATCCATCTCCACTTTCTCCTTCATATCTTTTGAGTAATCAGCTCTCGGATGGTTTGTTCCTAGCAAGAGTTTCTTGTTGCTAATTCTTTCTTTTCGGCTGGCCATTTGATCTTCAGTATGGATCCAGCCAGCGAACGAGGCAACTGTTGATAAAAATCAGTAACCCGTTGGAAATCTTTTTCGTGACGCGAATGCCAAGTTTCTGACCTGTATAGAAAAACTAACTGACTAGCTTGACATTTGTGTGTTGTTTATGCTGCAGAGTGCAGAAGATTTTCAAACTGATTTCAGATTGATGAAAGCGTAATTTCCCCTCACGACTCTGGTTGGCTTTAACAACTTCATCCGTTCCGAGTGGCTGTAGTTAAAAAGATGCTTCCTGGATAAGTGAAAGGAGTAGCCTCTGTCAAATCTCTCCCATTTATGGCTAGGTTGGCTGGTTATCTTCATCACCTCTGTCTTCTCTATGTTCACCTGGAGTCCTGTCTTCTCTGGCTGCTTCTTCAGCCAGTTTGTTGGTTTTTGCCTGCAGGTCTTCGAGTTTTTGTGACATTAGACATATATCATCTGCAAAATTAAGGTCTTCTAGAGTGTTATTGTCAGTGGTCCAGCGTATTTCTGTCTCCTCGCTCTCCACAGTCTTATGCGTAACCCAGTCCACCACAATTAAGAATATCGTCAGTGATAATAGGCAGGCAGCCCTGTCTTATTCCTGTATTTACTTTGAACGCCTCGCTGAGTTTCCCGTTGTGGATCACCTGACATGTGGCAGACACTGTCATATAACCAGCTGTTGATTGAGATTGATAAAGACGTGGGGTATGCCGTAGTGTTGAAGTAGTTTCCAGATTACTTCTTGGTCAACGCTGTCTGTCCAAGGCCTTTTCAAAGTCGATGTAGCTGAGGTAGGGAGGGGTTTGACCGGCATTCTTTACTTTTTTCTGTGATGACGATGCGTAGAGTGACAATTTGACCATCACATGATTTGCCTTTCCCGGAATCCGGCTTGTTTCTGGCTGGTGGAGTTCTGCATTCAGTGCACCTTTTATTGTCTCCCAGATCATGTGAAATATGTCAAATTTTATTATTGCGACTCAGTTTCTGGCCTTTGGTATGCCACTGGAGGTTTTCATCTGTCACTTTTATTTTTAAAAATCTCAGCGAGATTATAATAAGCACTTTCAAAGTTGTTTAGTAAACTGATTCCAACTTATTGTTACTATTATTTTGGGGGAAATGTTATTGTTATGAAAATTATTAGCTGTCACCTAATAATGGAAGCAAAACTAACTACAGGTCTTTAGGAAACTATTTTTCGTGAAATCAGTTTGTTAATCATGCTTGAATTATTTTGGATAGCGTTATTAGAAGACGGAGTTTATCTGCAAAAATGTGATGTATTTAAGACATACATGTCGAACAATCTGATCACACATTCACTATTTATCAAATCAGTATATGTATGAAATATGAGAAGACCAATTAAAAATAAATAGAAGGATAAGAGACTTAAGAATATGAAGGTTAATAATTAGCACTGTTTTTTTTTGGCAACATAATTATAGAAGGATTACGAAGGTGGGTTAATGGTAATAATAAATTATTTCTGTGTACACTTAGAGGGGGGCCTACATTTTCCGGGCAGCTTTCACCTCAGTGTATTTCTGTAAGCGCCTTTTACTGTTTTTTCAGATAATCTTGAAAGCTGCTTTGATATCAATCTTAGGATTCACATAAACTGAATGTTTTGCTATAGACAAATTCGGTAGTCTGCCACCTACATTCATCGAGGTTTCAAAGTTCATTTGTTTTTAGGCCACCCCCTCCTGCGTGTGTGTGACCACACATATGCAAATTGGTATATAGAATGGAATGTGACACAATCGCTTATTCAATATTGAGGCTTGCGGTAAAGCATGTTTTGGCTCATTTGATAATTACAAGCATGGCTGCGCGATAAGTTTTACGAATGATGGAATTTAGTCTCTATCTTAAAAATGGTATTGTTTACTTCCTGGTTATGAGGTAATTTTTTGTAAGCATCTTTCGTCGAGATGGAATAAACTGTAGGCTTTAAAACTAACTGAGCTATACACCGGTTCCAAAGCTTCAAAGAATACCCGTTTGCAACATGTTTACCTGCCAATATTTCATTGTCATCATCTGTAGTACCAGCTTCACAAATATTCTGGATCCTCTTGAACAAGCACTTAACTAAGCTTCTGTTATATTGCAGTGGACAGAAACTGTGGAAGTTTAAATATTGCCCTGTCCAAATAAGCTTTCTATAAAGTGCCCGCTTTATTGTGCCATCCTCTTTCCGACTCAAAAGTATGTCTAGGAATGCGAGTTGGTTTCAACTTCCTTCCTCATGTGTAAGACTCGTGTGATTTTGTGCAGAGTTAAATCTATCCAGGAGATGAATTGCATTGTCGTGATTATTTCATATCACAATAATATCACCAATGCATCTCCCATAAAAAGGCACCTTAGCAATCAAATCACTGAACAGATTTTCAATCTCAGTCCTATACACATCAACCAGCATTGGTCCTTAATGACTTCCCATAGGAACACCATCCATTTGTCGAAAGTACTTACCTTCAAATGTGAAATGGACGTTGTCTGTGCAAAATTATCATAAATCCCTCATATATCTTAAAGGAATATAGAATGAAGGTACATTTGAAATTTATTTTAATAAATATTACCACTGCTAATAAATACTGTTGCATGGTTTTGTATTTTTTTTTTGTTAGATGGTAATAAAAAGCAGTTACCATTTAGACGTCAACGAATGGATATTGACAGTTTGGTGCCTCCTTCGAAAGAAACTAAGAATATGGATGACTCAGCAAATTATTGTTGTTCAATAGCCCGCATGTGGGAGAAAACGAAAGGAAAGGATTTTCCGAAGGTATTAGTTATTTTGTTGTTGGTAGACTGTATCCGATAATCAGATATTATTGGTATTGAATGGTTGGAGGCAATCGGCAGGAAGCCTTTCTACGTAGGTTTCATGCTGGTTGGCACTCATCAGCAACACACATATTACACTAGTTACTGAGTAGTGTCCAATCAAAAGTATCTAATACAGTCCTACAGGAGGTCAATCGTGAGCCTGAATAGCTCAGTGGTATCGTCTCTGACTGCAGCACTGGGAGACGCGGGTTGAATTCTCAGGAGGGACATAAGTTCCTTCGAATTTGAAGTTATGCCTTGCTGATGAGTGCCAAACAACACGAAACCTGGGTCCAAGGCTTTCTGTTGATTGCCTCCAACCATCTAATACCAACAGTCCACAGTGTACCATGATGGCGAGCCACGTAATGGCATGGTAGCCACATTGCAAACTTGACTGATGGAATTCAGTCTGCACCAAAGATAGGACTACATACACACATTACACTAGTTACTGACTAGTGTCCAATAAAAGAAAACAACTTCTGTATTATTGTGTAGCACAAATCTTTATCTATTTCTAGAATATTGTCTTAGCAAGCAGAAATTCGTTTTCATATCTGCTGTTAAAGATTCATTGGCTATCCTCCAACGTTAATTAACTGTTACCTTTTTGAATGTAAATTTGTTCACAAATCGATAAGAGTTAGAAAAAAGACATTGGGAACTAAGAAACACCAAACGGCTGCTTCGTCCTGGCTTGTGACACTTCATCAGTGGACATCTAATTTTGTTATTTATTTTATAGTAAAAATAACTTGGTCATATTTTTAAGCATAAGTGGAAATCAACACAATGCGCGTAAATGACAGTCGGATATACTTTCAGTATTTCTTGAGTTCTTGTGAACAATCAATATTTGGCCAAGTCATCAGCGAGTACAATGGATAGTATCAATTTACCCTATTTTTGATAGATCAATAACTAATCTTCTTGCATCACAGATATAGTATGTCGAGTTTCTATAGGTTTTGATAAATGAACCAAAACATTTTTTAAATTTTTTTTGAAGACGCTTAATTTATTAGAAATGGCAACAAAACGATGTGAAGATTTAGAAAAACAAATAAATAGCCTAGAAGAAGAACTAGAATTAAATGAAAGGAAAGTGGAGAATTTTCGTCAGCAGGTAAGATTTCTATTGCTATCATTTTAACATGGAGGAAATATTGGTATTCAGCTTATATTTTATCTAAAAGGCGGTTGACAGCTATCAGAGGAAAAATTAATTTGACTGAACTATTGTGTTTTCTGATTATTTCAGACTATACAGTGATAAATCTATGAATGTTAAAATACAATAGCTAATAAAGGTAAATTAAAACGGTATCCGAAACTGTATTGGGATACATTTATGTACAAGATGGAATAATAGTCCATTGGCTTTTATTGTCATTTGATTGTCTATCAAACATATGGTCATGAAGAATGTGAATAAACAATTAAGTAACCTATTCAACTTATCTCAGTGTGTTAAAGAGTAGTTCAGTAATCTACTCAGTACTACTTTTTGATGGAATGACTTTAGTTTCTAAGATAAAAGATACAACAACCTGAAATTTTACATAACACCTGCATCGGCGGTATTTGTAAGATATTTATCACGTACCACTTAGTCCTGAATTGTTTCAAGTTCTAAACTAGTTGAATAGAGAATCAGTTTAGCACAATACACAGAAATGCATCACTTTAAGTTGTCAAATATCTGAAGCTTAGGGAATAGAGAAATGGATTTGGCGAAGAAAATGATGGACATTTTCAAAATCTGCAGGGGTGAAACGCAATGAATATATGTGATCCAGTATAAACGATTTTCCACTGTACTGCAAAGAGTCTACGATCTTTGATTGTCAGCATACCAAGGATTCCAATCAGGCAATCTTCATGTTCTTAATTGGTTCAGACTAAGAGTCAGTGACTTTATGGAGCGATGTATGACATCCGTTTGGTCACTCTTACCTATTTCTCAAGTTAATTTTAATTCAACTTGCATTGGTCATCGAGGAATGAAGGCTTTCTGAATGCTTACCACATGTCCTAAGCATCTCAGTAGATAAAGCTGTACAAACTCATCTGTCAACATTCCCCCTTTAAGTAACACTTTACGCCTAACCTCATGATTGCGTACCGTATTTTTCCACCTGATACCAGAAGGTGGATGAAAACGTCAATGAAAAAAAATCTGGCATCCTTTTCGAAATTCATGTCTCACAGACGCAAAGTAGCACTGAAATAACTGCACATAATACACTCTTTGATAGGAAACTACCTATCACACCCGTACCAAAAATGCTGCTAATTAGTTGATGCGGAACGAGGTTTCTAAGTGCCTGTTTTCCAACCGTAATCTGGGAATTGGTGTCACTCAGTCCTGCACCAGATCCTTACATATGACAAAGGTGAACAAACAAGGGATTTCGTTCAGCGTTTTCAAAAGACTACAATTTTTCAGTCCCTTCATATGATAAGACAGTATTTCCTGTCTACTCTAAATCTATGAGACTTTATAAGTTCAAGTTAAATATCATGATTAGCATAGCAAACTTCCTTTTGAGTTGTCTTCACAGTCAGACATTACCACGAAACGTCATCAACGGACTGAAATGCTACTTTCAGGTCAAGAAATATGGCAAATATCGAACGTTGGCAATTTAGTCTGTCTAACGGAAGCTGTCAAACAGTGAAGATTGATTAGTCACATGCAGACTTGAAACCTCTCAGATTTTTCTAGAGCCTTATTTAGAGCTATGGATCCCAGGATTTTAATGCACGACAAATAAGTCACAGAAATATTTTATTTTAATTGAAGCTCAGATTGGTGATAGTACTTTGAGATTTGATACCAACTTTGAAAATATTAGAGTTTGCATTACCACTAAAGATTTACTTATTGGATTTCACATGACAGGTGTCCATTCAGTAGTTAGGTCATTTGAAAAGGTGTGGAGTCTTTGCAGTGTCCAGATGTGAGGATTTAAATATGAACTTCTTAATAAATCTATTTAGCGATATTGAATGTTTCGTGCATATGTCAATCATTGTAAGTGTGTTATCAAATGTGGATCATGGTAGTTTTAGTTTCGAATTATTATTTTCCACTCTAGGCTTTTTCCTTTTCACAGAATGGATTTTCGTAGATAACTAGAATTCACTCGCATTCCTTTTTTTTTTACTAGGTTCTCTTAAGAGATACTGAGATTGAACGATTAAGAAATATTTCTGAAAAAGGTCGACCATTGGAAACCTTATTGAATGACTGTAGTGGGAAGCAGTCGGATCGATTAATTCATCAGTTACAACTGCAAGTTGATTTGTTGCAAGCTAGAAATGGTGAATTAGAAGCACGTATTGTGGAATTGGTTAATCGTGAAGTCGCAAGTATTCAACCTTCTCCAGATTTAGTCAATGCAGAATGTCAAACTTTATGTTCCTCAAAACTCCCGTTAGTGGATAATTCATGTCAAACGAATTCTGTGGACACTATATATTGTCCAAATCATGCAAAGCCATCTACTCAGTTTAAGGTATATACTTTTGATAAACTTGTGTGCTCCTGCCTTACATGTTTGATTTTATGAAAACTGAAAATTATTTTCATGTCTGGTGAGATTTGAAGCAGATGAAAATGTTCATTTTTTGTCTGGAAAAGTATAATAGTCGGAAAGACATATATACCACTATTATAGTATTATTCCTTTGGGTTCCAAGTGGAACATAGACTTTCAAGAGCATATCGCCATTTCACTCTGTTGTTTGCAGTCCTTTTAAGTTGGCTCCACGACTGGCTCCTCCTCATACAATCTCCTTCATATCACTCTCGGGCCTATGCCGAACTCGTCGCCCGCCATTTGAGTTCGCTCAAGGGCCTAGCATTCTCCCCAGCTCACGTCCAATCCATCTCCATTTTCCTCTGCATATTTTCTGGGAGACAGGTGTTTAATCGGCGTCAATGTTTGCACAAAAGTGCATCATTTCTAGTTTAAGTCTATCAGTTAACTGTAAGCGGAATCCTTATATCACACTAGTAGTATCTAACATATTCAAACAGTAGGACTATACTTTATCAAATGCAGCTAATGCTTATATAAATTAGTCAGAATATACTAGCATACGCAAATATTCATATATGGGTGATGATTGAGGTCTCATAATCGGCTGTATCGTGTGGTCGTCCAGGTGAATGACTCAACGTTGGTATACTTCAAACCTAAAAGCAGACGTCATCATTGAGTGACTGAGTATACTATAAAGGTGTATGAAATATGTTTCCAAGGTTAAAGTAGCACTTTACAACTTCAGAAAGTATTTGAGCAGATGACTATCATAGAGTCTACGTGAAAACATTAAAAAGCGACGCGCAATTCTTCTGATTTTAACTTATTACATCTTGAATGTTGTCACGAAGCAGCTATTCAAAAGTGGTTTCATTCCCGACCAATGCATTCCTAAACGTCGGTTAGCCGGTAGTCCACCTGGTAATGAGGGAAGGTTGGGATTGAGGCTAGCACAAAAAACACCACCTCTACTGAATGTTCAAAGCTCAAGTTTGAAGCCCTGTGTTACACTTAAAAAGCGAAGGTATGGAAAAAAATAGTATTCGGATAGTTAGCACGAGCGTATTTTACCCCCAATTATAGTCTAAGTGTTTTACTTTAATGTGGTACTTTCCTCCTTCGCATTTCACTTTTTTTTCTACTTTTGTTATGTACTGCTTTTTATCAGAAAGAAATTTATGAATTGATTCAAAGATTTGAAAATAGTCGAAAGTGTGTGACTCAGCGTCTGCATTCAATCGTCACCAAAGGTGAGTTGTTGCAATTTGTTTTTTCCAAAAGGTTACTTTTAGAAATAGTAAACCTGTAAGTTGTACATCATTCAGATTTCAACCATACATTTGTAATTCTGATTATCTGTGCAAATTCGAATGCACATTTTTCAGACGGACCTTATGTGTTAAGTATAAAATTAAAATAAAGCGAAAATTCCTTAATATATCATTCGGCTTTAGAGTAATAAAATGATCAACTGCTTGTATAGAATTCCTGATAAAACTATCACTATTTATGAATACTGACACGATAGATGGTGTTACAAACGTCGTGGAATAATTTGGGCATCGAGTTATGTTGATTTTATTATAAAAATACATAAGAAGCAAACTTGATGCAATATGGACTCTAAGAGATACACCAAGCAGAATATTAGAACAACAATGTAAGAAACAGAGAAGTAAAGCAGTTGTCGGATAACACTATGAATACAGGTGTACATACTAATCAAGGAAGAGTTCATTACTTCTTATTATTGATAGTTGACAAGTAGTGGTGGTTGGTCGGAATTGGAGATTTTTCCAGAAATTGGATAAATTGGAGGTCATGTCCACACGATTTCAAATGGTCGGTGCCATTAGTACGTTTCATTAAAACAATTTTTACTGGGTGGTAGGCAGTAATGTGAGTCTGCAATTAATAGTGTTCTCTGAGCTGGTTGGTTTAGTTGCGCAGCTTTTGTCGCCCTTCTGGACAAAATCTTCAGCGCAATATTTAGCATAAAGTGAAATGATTTAAATTTCTTCATGAGTGTGAGTAATGTAAGTCTTACAAATACTAAATACATTGTATATGTGGGGAATAAGTTAACTCTCAAAGACCACACCCTAGTCAGAATGTAGTGATTGTGTGGTCCAAAAGTGAGAAATTCAGTAGTTGGTAAATGTCCCAGTAACGACAGCTGTATCTTGTTGATGCAGTAACACTGCATCGGTAAATAGCCGATCACCAACAAGAAGTATTGGTTGCACTGTTTCGAAGTTGTAAGTGGCTTTTTAATCGTTGGTCGATAGCATGTTCTGTCTTCTGTCGGCAATCATGACTAAATTGGTGTCGCAATTGGTTAATCAGCTCCTGGACTTTCGCCTTTAAAACTAGAAGGCGTGAAAATGGGTTCGACTTTACTTACCGACTTGACTTACTAAAAGTCAGGTCCCTGTCTCAACTACGTAGAGATTCAACTGTACCTATCTTAACCGACTTTGAGGGATGAATTAGGGTGTGAGTTTCTATTATAATTTGACAGTTTTCTGTAGATGATTGTAGCTAACCTACCATACTTTTTTGTTTCACTTTACGGTCTAGCATAGATAGCCCACTCTGTTTATTTTATAACTTGAAAGTGAAATGGATTCTGTCTATAACTGAGTTTATTTGTATGAAGGAATTATAAACGTGTTTAGATTTCTGCATATCTAAACCATAACCCAAGAGAAAGATCAAACGTTTTAAGAGCTTTTTGTTCTCAAATATCCATAAATATGTTTGTTAGTATTGGTGATATTAGCGATCCCAATACTACCCCATTTGTTTGTTTGCAATACTTTATCTTGAAATTAGAATACATCGGAAATCAAACATCATATTCTTGTTATATACCATAATATTATTTTTTAACCGAGACCTTAGCTCTCTTTGTGAATTTAGGGTCGATGTTCAACCTAATTCCAATTGTCCCCGAAGCTATAGTAGTCGGAATAATAATGTATATTTTTATTTCTTTTTAATTTTTTTATATTTTATTATAGCTTGATTCCACACATTATTTTGGTACAAGTATGAAATTTTCAGCGTGTGATATCGGTAGCCCAAGTTTAGCAGGCCGACCATAAATATCAGGTGTGCGTCGGCGGGGGATCGAACCTCGGACCATGTGCATGATCGGCGAGAGTCCTAACCGCTGTGCCACCGACGCACTTGATACGTTGAAACTAATCACCTTTTTACATTCTTTTTCTATTTAGATTTCCTCTAGCCTTTATTTCATTTCATATGAATTAGTCTAGAATCAGAGAGATCTCTAATTGGTCATTAATCTGATGTTAAATATTCAGATGGTTCACATGCCGAAGTGTTCCTGAAGTTAACTAGTGGCCTGATAGGGTGTCCTGCCTTATGAAATTTTTTATAGTTTTGCTTTTAGGTATTAAATTGCCTAATGTATCTAATTTAGCTGTTCTTATCTTTTTCAATGTTTCAATTGTGATTTCATAAACCTTTGTTATTTACAATATTACTGAGAATAAATTTTAGTTGTTCAATAAATCCAGAAATATTCAAACTAAAAAGTTGAATAAATTAGTGAAAAGATAACATCATGTTGAGCAGAGTAAAGCAGCTAGCCATGCGACACCGCCGAGCAACAACAGAACAAAGGGGGCGATCAAATTGTCAGCAAGAACACTAAGCTTAGATGAAATAAAAATGTTCGTTCAATGTGACAATTGGTAGATTGAAACGTCAAGTCATTCCTAGTGTGGTAGTCGTATTAAGTGTAACAGATGAGATAGTTATAATCACCTTATTAGTATCATTTTTTGATGTGAAATAAGCGGAAAAGATTTTGGTGACTGATTGATGGTCAACAATCAATATGGTTTAGAAAGGTGATTTGAAGAAAAAGTGACACGAAAGAGTCTATACAGTTTAAGAGACGAATTATTATTTTTTTAAACAGCCGAAAAGCTGTGGTACTGCAAAGCAGTTATCTAAAGCTATTATAAAGAAGGTAAATGAAACTAAGGCTTGAAGCTTTGAAACATTTGTCTGATTCTTGACATCTCTGAACGATTTGATCTGGCTTTGTTCAGCTTGCTACAAATATCTATGATTAGAAAATCTGTTGATAGCGGAGATTCGTTGACAGAGTAATTTTTCTACAAATCCCTGTCATTCATACGGCTTCATTGTGACAACATTAACTCACTTCAGAAGTTCATTTTCTATTATCGAGACACTTCGAAACGTGTCCCCTCATCATTCAACAGAATTAAACATGGAATTCAGCATTTTATTACTGTGTTCTATTCTTTCAACCTTCATTAGTGTTTATTTAATCTTTGTGCAGTTACGTTTATTGTATTGATTGCATGTTTTAAAACTATATAATAACATTTACTGGCATAAACCTACAAATTATCTTGACTTTTACAGATCAAAACTTACTAAACGACCTATCAAGATATATCCCCTCTTCATTTCACGGTCAGACAAATTCTAATGGTGAAGAAATTATTAAATTTGTGGAAAAACATTTGCATATCACTAAAGGTGACAGAGATTATTGTTACTCAGAATTAGAAGTAATATCTGACATTTTAAAGCATATATCAGCGTATCTGCTAACGAAATGTGTTGTAAATAAACTCAAAATTTCTGATTTACCAAAACCACCAAGTGGTTCTAATATTAAGATGAATAGTTGTTCAAGACGTCAACTTCGACGTTCTAAATCTGCTGAAGTGCATGGGATTCAATCGAAGGACTGCAAAGTACGTGTTTCTTCTCTCTTTTTTTTTGTTGGAATCTGTGTCACACATTTGAAAATTAAGTTTATTTATTCAGAGTGTAATGCTCTTAGGTTGGTTGAAGATATGTAAAAGTCTACAAGTTAATCAAAATCCAATTTGTTTTCAAGTAATAGTTAAAATCGATCAGACAAGTTGAAATACAACTTTCTTTATGTAGCATCCATTTTCTGAAAACAAAATACTTAGTTCAGCAAAGAGTCTCTTTTCAGCGAATTCATTTACTTAGCTGTACAATCACAATTGTATATGAATATTTTTTTTTCTGTGTACATTCGGTTTGTCCGACAAGAATAAAATTAGTTAGGGTTATTGTTTACGCCATCAAAATATCTCAAAATGTGATGAATAATCAAAATGTAACTAGGGTGTGTGTGTGTGTGTCATGAACCTGGGTTGTAAGGGAGATATTCTTAAGAGGAGAATTTCAACATCTTTGCGAAGAATATTCTTCGGAGCAATGCTAATAGTATTGTTCTCCAATCCCCCATTGGTCTGCTGAAGCCTTAAGGACAATATCTTGCATCTGACCACTTTTATTTGCATATGTCAGTTCACCTGTTCTTGTGGATCTAGACATATCGGTCGTTCGATGTGTATGCGTGGTTGCAGAAAGGTAGCAGTGGCTCTATAGGAAGTGCTAAAATCGAACACCTTGTCAACACTGGCTGTTCCATCTCAACGAACGCCTCCTTCAAAATAATCTACAAAGTGAAGAATAACTTGCCAAAAGCAATAAGTTTTCTTCTCCTTTATATCGCTGATGTCTTAGCCATTTAGTTAAAAAAACCGGAGCCACACATAACAAAGAAAATTACTCAACCACTTCTATTATCATGGTAACAACTGTGTTGATTTCTGGTGACCTGATTTTTGAGTACTTGTTTTTCTAACTCCCTAGAACTCTTGTATTTCTTTAGAACTCTTACATAAGTCCATATTTTCCTTCTTTTCTATCCTGATCACAAGTCACTCATTAAATTAGTCATCTTATTACATAACGAATGCACTTATTCAACTTCTTTTATGCATTGACAACTCATCACTACTACCTTCTTCCCATTCTCCAATCGCCCTAGTTACAATTTGATTATTCATCACATTTTGAGATATTTTGATGGCGTAAACAGTAACCCTAACTAGTTTGTATTCTTGTCTGACAAACCTAATGTACACACTCACATACAAAAAATAATTACATATATGATTGCGATTGTACATCTAGGTGAATGAATTCGCCGAAAAGAGACTCCTCCCTGGACTACGTGTTTTGTTTTCATTAATGTCCGAATGGGGATTATTCATGAATGTGCATTTTCCCTCTGATTGGAAAAATATGTCTTTTAAACGTTTATTTATTGAATGTAATCACAAACCTTTATACTACGTATCGGTGTTTTGTAATAGTGGGTTGTATGAAGTAGTGATATTACATAGTCTTAGCGTATTGCATCTTAGAGTTAGATTAATTCTGCTTACAAGTTTAAGCACGGATTGATATCTGTTAAAGAACCAATGAAAACAGGGAGTACTGGATAGCCGTTTCGTCTTAATCCTGTTCAGTAGTACTCAAATATGACCCCAACGGGGATCGAATCCAGGTCCTTCTGGTTGCAAGGCGATCACGTTGACCATTCAACCGCTGGAATGGAATCTAGTCGCTGACGATTTCTAACTTCTGTCTATTCTGCTTACTTCAATTTGTAAAATTAGTTAGCTCTACCAGCTATTACATGCTGATCTGATTGGTAGACTGGCACATAAGCTATTAGGGGATAATTAAGCGGCATTCGTTACTGCACTTTATATATCTATACAGTACCAGTTTAAATAATTTATTTTTGAAAATGTAAGGGATCGTAAAATGTGATTTTTAAATGGTTTTCATGAAAATCCTTCTCTGAAAAAGAAGTACTAAAAAACAACTATGTGTATTTTGATATATTTCTTAAATCGATGGATTTCTGTTATTAATCACCGACTGCGCTGATTGCAAACCTCATCCAGTTCATAAGACACCAGTTACTACATGCTAATCACTTTGTGCGTGTGAGTATTCTGTATTATAACATTATTCAATTGTATGACAGTTTTGTCGTTTTTCGTTTTTATTTTTGGTGTTATTTCGGTTGATTACAGACTTTATAGTTCGAAATATATCTTGAATTCATCTGTTCTGTTGATAACATTCCACTTTATTTTTTTTTTGATGTTTTTTTTCAATTATTGAATATATATTTAGCTTTTACAAGGTGAAGTACGCTGTTTACAAACTGAAAGAGATCATTATCAAGAAGAATTAGAAAAATCCAGACTGAAATTTCACCGTCTTCACATGCCAAGAATACAGTGCATAGATAAAAATGTAGGTGTATATAGTTAACTTCTTTTTAGGGTATGTATATATGAGGAAGCATTATAACTTTGAGAAGATAGAAAAGCTGATCACGGGAATCAAATCTATATTATTCTTCATTGTTACTATAAATCTTTTTATCGGGACTGAGAAAATTTACACCATGCCAATTTTAAAATGGTGGTGGAAATAATTGTTTCATAATAAGCTTTTCAGTCGGATGAATAAGTGTTTATCCGATGAATCGAAATGTCTGATTATATCAGGCTATGTGTATAATTGAGCTATATCAACGGTTACCAAGTGCATTTGCTTTTGCAAAATTTTAATGTTCATAGGTACCACGTATAGATGTGGCCCATTTGCTTTGGTATTTAGCTTTCAACCAATGCGTTCCAGCTTTGAATCTAACTCCACCTACTTCAACCTGGACAGCTGCATAGTATCACCAGCTATCATAGACAGTAAACATGTCTCATAGCCTTGTGCATGAAAAATCTTCTCTTGCTAAATGAATTCCAACTGACAAGCATATGCAGCTAAGTTAAAATTTAGCGAAGCATGAGGCGTGAGCTCACCAACGACTTTAGAACGTTCAGTCACACTAAGGCAGTTAAACCAGGTAAAAAATAAGACTATAGTCACCTTATGACCAGAACTATAACCTACTATACTATACCTGTGGTGAGTGCTACTTATAATCCGATATAAGTAGTATATCAGGAACGAAGTAACAACATGTTTGGCACACTGAAAAGAGCAATCAAAGAAGAGAACCATGAGAAGAATGTTGCTATATGATGCAGAATCCAAGAAGCTATCGAATGAGACGATATTCGACCAATTCGTCAAGGATGTGGTGAAGATGTGCAAATGGCCGGTTTAGAATATGGTATTCCAAATTTAGCTATGTACCATACGTTTCACCAAATAAACAATCCTTTCAGTCTCCTCAGTCTTGTCTTCTTCACATACCTACTATACTAGACTATAAGCGAATTACTAACCTTAATGCACTGACTAATCTGTCCTAATCGCACGTCAACAACAACAATAATACCGCCGGGCCTCAAAGACAGAAGAGAAGTCTGGAGGTTGGTAAGAGAGCTTATACTGTCGCAAAACAACAGTCGAAAAGGGTTGTTTAAGATGACCTTGAGAAGTGCTAATGTAGACATGACCAGGGGTTTGAGAGATTAAAATTAGGATTATAATAGATTAGAGTTCAATTACATCACTTAAATAAACAATTAGTCATCACACAAATAACTTGAAAATGTCAATTTGTCTTGATAAAATCTCACAGTGTTCTACAGTAGTATTTACTGATGACATTTCGAGCTCAATTTATTGTTCATAATCATATCAAGTTAATCACACAAATTTCTGACCCTACTGACCCAATAAGATAAAATAATATAATTTACAAAATACCTTGCAATGACTGTGAATGAGGTCAACTACATAGGTCAAACTAGTAGGTCGGGGGTAGTCAAACTGTCAGAACATAAGAATTTAGCTAAGGGTAGAATTATTGACCCCGTGGAAATAAGTGTTTTAGGAAAACAACTCAGCATGCATTAACACACAACCACTCAATATGGTGGGTCAGAGTTACAATGCGAAAAAGTAATATAGATAGGTGGAGACAGGTTGGTTACTGAGTCATTGTTCATCAAATCTACACTCAACACATGCAATAGGAATGACTCATCACTCATACTGGAAATATGGAAAATAATACTACCAACCAAGTCAAGAGATGAGAAATAATGGAATTATATGAACGAAGTTGTGTGAGTAACTTCATATGATTATGAGCAATAAATTGTGCTTGAAACGTCATCAGTTAATATTACTGTATAACACTGTGAGACTTTATCAAAATAAATTTTACCCATAATGGAATTATACTTTACCACAGTGCACAAGTTCTATTTTTATATCAATGAGAGAAAGTCAGGTCATAAATCAATAAGTGGGATGAGAGAAGTACAAACATACATGTAAAAATGGCATGTAGTTAATTAGGTCTGTATATATCAATTCATAAAAAAGTGTTGGATGAAGTGTCATGATATTGAGTGAAGATATCTGGTGTGTTTTGGGTAAGGCTAGAGAAACATTAGGTTAGGTGACTAAATACTTTTTAAGCTTAATAAGTTGTCACAAGATCATTGGTGCGTTCGCACCTCTGTGTTCACAGTTGAACTTTACTAAAAATGCCCTACAATTCGACTATTAGGATAGGTGTGTATGTAATCTAGTAAGCGGAATTTAATTTCATATGTAGGCAGAAAAGAAATTAAATCCATGATAACATGAGTGAAATAATGTACTAATATGCTAATAGTTGCTATTATTATCGTTATCATTTCGTCGCTTGTTGCAGCTTTGGAGAAATTAACAGAATTAATACAAAAGAAGATTTGAGCGAAAGAATATTCTTTTCGATAATTTCCCCTTCCGGCTCTACATTTGCATATATATATATATATATATATATAGTAGTAAATACAATACCAAGCGAAATTAAGGAAATCTCTACAACAAATTAAGGATCATTAAAACATTGATGGCAAAGGTAAGGAAAGAGTTTGAACCAATTTCTTTTGAACACATAGGTTAGGCTTCTTAATGTAGATCCCAACAGCCTCAGCAATATGTAATAACGGAACTCTTGAGGTAAAATTAAGCTTAGATGGTTTACGGCAGATGACTTTGTAAGGCCTCGTTAACATCAATCTTATGTCCTGTATCTACGAGATGAGACAGTGTATAACTATGAATGAACTTTGTTTCTCCTTTACTTAACCACACAGGATGGTGTTTGGAAATCCGACGATAAACACGCCTGATTGTACAGCCTATGTAACCAGTGTTGTTGATGACGATTATCCTGGAATATATATATATAGTTGTAGAGTCGGAAGAGGAAATTATCGAAAAGAATATTCTTTTGCTCAAATCTTCTTTTGTATTAATTCTGTTAATTTCTCCAAAGCTGCAACAAGCGACAAAATGATAACGATAATAATAGCAACTATTAGCATATTAGTACATTATTTCACTCATGTTATCATGGATTTAATTTCTTTTCTGCCTACATATGAAATTAAATTCCGCTAACTAGATTATACATTTTCACACCATCTATCCTAATAGTCGAATTGTAGGGCATTTTTAGCAAAGTTCAACTGTGGACGTAATACGTTTTCGAAGATAAATTTTACCAGTATCTGATCTGTCTTATGAATTCTTTATTAAATATAATTACGATTGTACAACAGCTTATGAAAATGAATCATCGAAAAGAAAATTTTCTTCGCTGGTTTCTCTTTTGACTCAATATGGAAATATTTCGTTCAAATAATGATATTTCAGTGATGGGGAGGGGGTGGTAAAACAGAAATCAACGGTTAAATTCACTGACTACAGGGAAAAAGCTCTTATAATTCAAATCTTCCTTACATATGCAGTCTTTATATCCTGTTATCGTGACTGTTCAATGAGGGATAGAGTTATGAAAATGTGATAGTCATCATTGGTATTCAATTCAGTTGTCTCATTTAGATCAGTTTCGTTATTTATTTTTCGCTAAATTTGCATTTCCCGTTGTCAGTATCTGTCGGCTTCTAGTATGGATGCTTCTATGATGCCTGGGGACTAAATTGATGTTATTTTCGCTAGTGGTGACTAGTACTGAAATCTTGGATGCGCACTTCGTCCTATTTGGGATCCAGCTGGATGTGCCTGCATTCCCAATAAGTGATGGTATTCATACCGAGACTCGGATCCTGCACTTGTTATTAGTCTTAGAAATTCATAAAAGTAATATTATTTCATATTTTGACTAATATATCAATTTTTCCATTTAATAATAATTTTTTTCTCTTGTTTATTATTTTATTTGTTAAATTTTTAGAGTTTTCTTGAAGATGAAGTGAAGTGTTTGCTCCAAGAACGTAATGATTTAGCTGCTCTGTTGAATCATTTTGAACGACAACTTCATGATGTATGCACATCGGCTATGTGGTACCTTTTCACGCTAGTGTTATAATGGAAAAGATTCTTACTTACTTATGGTTTATAGCATTGTTTATAGTATTTATTACTTGATCAATATTATTTTTCGTTCCAGTTGAATTCTTATTTTTAACAATAACTAAGCGAGCAGACTATAGAAAGTGTGTTTTGGCAGTAAGGTGTTCTTCTCTAACCGCTTTATAAAAGTTCTAATAAAAAGTGTCCAGGATAATTGTACACTCTGACTTACTCAGCCACATTTTGTAGCCGATGGTTTGACTTTTGTACTTCAAAACCTCCAATATCTCTAAACAGACTACTTTGAACTAATCAAGAGTCAAGATAGAACTAAATTCTTACGAGTTTCCGAATCTACACTCCTACTGTAATATGGATGAGCATGGTCAGTGCACGTACTCTTTAAAGAAAGTTTACTCTGTAAATCTTGAAATATTCACGTAGAGATTTTTCATAAAGTAGTTATGTTAACATTGATGCTTTCGCACAAGAAATACATGCGTTCAAAGTGTATGAAGTGTGTTTCAAACTTTGGCATTATAGCGCTAGATGTGAATGTAGAATATATGATTCAGCTAGACGAATCAGTGATAGTTCATTTAGTCCAAAAGCTTTGTAACACTGCTCAGCACCGTTTACTGCACAATTTGCAGTTGATATGTCTCCGACTTATAAGAACTGTCATTAACAATCCTGTAATATTATGTTTATAATTGTTTTTAATGTTATTCGATAAAATTAGATGCATTAATGTACTAAATATTGAAAATTCTACACTGTAACATTCGTACTGTTCTTGATTAAAACACATTATTAGTTACTATCATGATTGAATAATTTCATATTCCATTAAACGTTTCTCCTCATCGGTGTGTGCAGTTAATTTTGATCTGAAGCGTTTCTCAACACTCCACTTTGAAATATTTATGATTTCAAGGATTATCACTGGACTCACTGCTTAGTTTAAAACCTTTGACATGGTTATCATCACGTCGTTTGACATATTATTTACATATTTTTATGTTTAATATATTAGTTCCTTAAAAACTTATCGTACTTCATAATCTAGACGTCTACACTGCTCTTTTCATTCATACTCATACTGTAGTGGAGAAGATTTGTAGCTCAGGTGGATGATTTTGATTTAGTTGTGTTCTCTGAGCTGGTTGACTTAATTGCCAAGCTTTTGTCGTCCTTCTAGACAGCATCTTCAACGCAGCTTCGCAATTAAATCAACCAGCTCAGAGAACACAACTAAGTTAAAATACTCATATTGCATTTATATTCTCAATTTTCAAGTGCATTATGCATAATCGGTTAGAAGTTGTTCTATAGTCATTTGTGGTGTTTGATGTATGTCTCATATGTTCATGCATAGACAGCCTTTTTATATTGTATTTGTGAACATCACTGTACTCTTTAAGGTAACTTATATGCTGTGGAGATTATTTCTTCAAAGACGCAGTAATACAACTGACTGGTGGTGTCTCATGACTGTTTTCTAGTGTTTACATCACCACTCATCCCACTGGTTTTCCTCCTCATGGCTTTCTTGATTATAACATTACACCAGCACATTGAAAATATCATTGGCAATCACATTTTCTTTAATAATTGAACTATCGAGGATTTTCGCAATCGACTTTCATGTGTTGGAGTCATTAGCCTTTGTCTAGTATCCACTAATTTTTTTAATGTGCTTATGTGATGAAATAATTTGATAATCTGCTGGTTTAGTCGGTTCTAAGGCAAATCTCTTTTATTTGTTGTTACTCATATAGATTTTGTTGATTTCTATATGGATATTGTGATCACCTCATCATCATCATCATTCACTGAACTGTATTCATAACAATGTATGAATATTATTCTGTAATCTCTGCTATTTTTCAACTAGTTCATTCATTAAATTTTTTTTTTCTGTTTAGATTCAAGGTAATGTTCGTGTTCTCACGAGTGAACGTGATACGCTTGTTGAACAACTATCACAAGTAAGACAGTTAACTTCTCCCTGTCATTTTTAATTATCAAATGCTAATTTTTTCAGGATTTCATCATGAACTGACATCGGTTAGAGAACCGTTGGAAAATCTGTGAGTACTGGACAACTATTTTGGTCCTAGTTTAGGACTCTTCATCAGTACGAACCCACTGGAGATAATTGTTTCCTTTAAAAATCGACTGAAATATACTAAAATGCCTTATTTTTATCGAACAAATAACAGTCATACAGAAATATGATGCTTTTTTAATCTCTGTTTAGCAACTGCCGGATAAAGTTATCACTGCAACCACTACAATTGTAAATTGTTCTTGTTCAGTTTGAAAATTTCAGTAGCCTTGTTGATAACTTCTTCATTAATTTTTCTTTATTCCTAATTAAGTCATTCTGTAGCTTTCTGATATTTTTTCTAAAGTTTGGTTTGTAAGGGTTTGTTATGTTTTTACGAGTTGATCACGGACTGATATCAATTAGAGAACCATTGAAAACCAAGGAGTACTGGACAGCTGCTGTTTCATCCTAGTTTGGGAATCATCAGCAGTACGCACCCACTGGGACTCGAACCCAGGACCTTCCAGTTACAAGGCAAGCTCATATACCATTCAGCCACTGGGACCCGATTCAATGGCTCATGAATTCTAACTTCTACCAATTCGTGATTTAGCGCGACCCAAACCATTGTCGTTGGTGGGACATCCATCCACACACGTGACATCTAATTGGACCTCACTGGTCACGACTTCTCACTAGAACTCCAGGAAACTCCATCCTGTAGCAAGTCACTAGCGAGCATCAGATTAATTTTCTAAAGTAAAAACATAACAAACCCTTACAAACCAAACTTTAGAAAATTAATCTGATGCTCGCTAGTGACTTGCTACAGGATGGAGTTTCCTGGAGTTCTAGTGAGAAGTCGTGACCAGTGAGGTCCAATTAGATGTCACGTGTGTGGATGGGTGTCCCACCAACGACAATGGTTTGGGTCGCGCTAAATCACGAATTGGTAGAAGTTAGAATTCATGAGCCATTGAATCGGGTCCCAGTGGCTGAATGGTATATGAGCTTGCCTTGTAACTGGAAGGTCCTGGGTTCGAGTCCCAGTGGGTGCGTACTGCTGATGACTCCCAAACTAGGATGAAACAGCAGCTGTCCAGTAATCCCTGGTTTTCTGATATTTGTCAAATTCTGTGATATCTTGCCAAGAAGTTCAAGTTGTGAATAAGCTTTTGTCTATGTTGTCAACAGAATCAACTACTACTATGGCGTATACTACTGATGAGATTTATCAGTAGTATATAAAGAGACGCTCATCAGCGTAAAAATACCAAATAGCAGGGAAACAGGTTTGACGTCAAAGAGAGCAAGTTATTCAGCCTTGCGACAAAACACGGGAGACATGAAAAGGAAGACAAAGAAAGACAGTACAAAGGACAGAAGTATCACAACATGTCAGATCTGTGCAAATAATGATTTGCAGATAAGGTGTACATAATTTCCCTATACAGAGATACCAAATTCCAAATAAACATTTCTTTACCAAGTCTTTTGTCTTCTATCGTTACACTACTAATATTATTGGTATAGCTATCAATATTAAGTGGAAAATAGAATTTATATTAGAAGAAATAGATCAACTTCTATAATATGACATTTATGTAAACACTAAATGAATAATACACTTAAATGCAATATTCATTCTAAAGTTATTCTGCGATATTTAGGCGCTTTTGATCACTGATATATGTTTATCTTCTTAAAGTGAACATAAAAATTTGTGTGCTTATATTTGATTGCTCAAACTGATCATGCACGCTATTGCTAAATTCCACTGACAATATAGTTTCCATACGTTAATTCTCTTTCATTTATAATCATTTTTCAAATATTCAGGTTAAATTCGATTTGTCAGAAGCAAATAAATGTCTACTTGAAGCAGCAAAGCAGAAAGAAAAGTGTATACATGATAATCCAACATCTGTTTCCAATTGCCTACATTCATGCATTCACCAGCGGAATCAGAAACTCGATGCTGAACTCTGTAAGACTGTTCAAAACTTACATCTTATGACTACAGAAAGAAATTCATTACGTGAACAACTGAATACCTTGACTACTGAGTATGTTAATGAGAAAGCTCATTTACTTCAATGCTTAGAGGATAATAAACGCCAATTAGAAAGCGTTAAGCAAAATGAACATTTACTAGAACAACGTATTGCAGAGTTAACCAAGTCTGTTGTGGATACGAAAAGCGAACGTGATAAACTGGTAAGTGGAGAGTGTTCATGAGTTTATTTTCTGTAGCATAAACAGATACAAAAATGTGTTATATGAATACATAGTTTGGTATAAATCATTTTTTCTATGTGTATCGATAACTCACTTTAAGGATACGTAACAACTTTGACGGTTATCATCGTATGTCAGCTTCCATACATTCATTCCATTAAACCTTAGAGGGCTTTGTAGTTTTGTGTTATTACTAATTTCAACAAGGGACAAAGGAATCTACTGAATATTAGTCGTTCAGCTGAATAATCTCATGTGTGTTACCCATTTGATCATGATGTGACAACTTTCCCTATTCCTACTAAATCAGCTGATTATCTCTGCATACATTTCAACCCTTCTGAGCACCAATGAGGGCTTTTATTCTATTCGAATTTTGTCTGACACCTGGTATCACAACGGCAGTGCACAAAGCCTTAAACGGCGATTAATTCCTTATTCCAATTTGCTATTAATTTATTCCAGTCAGAAGGTTGAACATCTTTCTTTTGAAATCAGACTCCAAGATTCTGGATTGGGTTACTTCGCAAGAATTAGTTTTCTTGCACTAGGTTGGAAATTCTATTCACTTGAGGATAAAGTTACATTCTTGATGACTTCTAGGCTGCATTGCATAGTGGGATGGAGTATAACGAAGAAATGTGATTTCTTTCTTCAGTTAATTTTTAGTCAGATTGAATTTTTTTTTACTTAGTAAGTTACTTTTACTTTAGTAAGTTAACTAATTTTGTTTTTTCCGGCTTTAGTTTTTTATTGCTGTGTATTGTGCGTCGGTGGCACAGTGGTTAGGACTCTCGCCGACCATGCACATGGTCCAGGATTCGATCCCCTGCCGACGCTCACCTGATATCTATGGTCGGCCTGCAAAATTAGGGCTACCGATATCACATGCTGAAAATTCCAGACTTGTATCAAAAATACGGTGTGGAATCAAGCTGTAATCAAAAAAAATATAGTTGATAACACAAAAATATTCATGAATAATCCTCATCCAGACATTGATGAAAACAAAACACGTAGTTTAGTGAAAAGTCTCTTTTCAGCGAATTCACTTACTTAGCTGTACAATCGCAATTTTAGAACTCTTGCATAACTCCATATTTTCCTTTGTTTCTATGTGCATCCTAATCACAACTCACTCATTAAACTATTCATCTTACTACGTAACTGTATTACTCTTATTCAACTTCTTTTATGTGTTGATTAACATTAATGATTATGTTTTATAACAACATATCACCACTACCCTCCTTACCAATCCTCACCCCTCCTAGTTACAATTTGACTACTCATCACATTTTTGAAATGTCTTGACAACAATAACCCTAACTTATTTTTATTCTTATCGGACAAACCTGATGTACACACACACATACAGAGTAAGTATGTATAATTGCGATTGTACAGCTAAGTAAATGAATTCACCGAAAAGACACTTCGCTGAACTACGTGTTTTGTTTTCATTAGCACCGAAATACGTTGATTAGTATTCATTCAAGCAGCAGTACAGTTTTGTTTTAGTGCTTATTAAGATATTAAATTCATTAAGAGAATTTCCTCTTTATTAGTTTGTTTATTAGATATATCACACAGTGAAACAGTATTATTTACTGGATGACGTTTCGAACAAAATTTATTGTTCATAATCATATCAATTATAATCACACGACTTTGACACTTGAGTTTTATAGTTTACTTTGTTCTCTTCTATTTGTCGTTTGGGTAGTAGAATTTTCCAGATATCGGGGACAGGTGATGAATCATTCCTATTACATGTATTTGCAGTTGATTCGATAAAAAATGCTTCTGTTATCAATCTCTCCCTATACCCTGTGACATTAGATTTTAAAACTGTCATCCTATCCCATCCTATTGTGTGGTTGTGTGTAATTGCATGTAGCGCTATAGCACTAAATATCTGGAAAATTGTACTACCCCTACGACAAATAGGAGAGGACAAAGTAAACTATAAAACTCAAGTGTCAAAGTCGTGTGATTATAATTGATATGATTATGAACAATAAATTTTGTTCGAAACGTCATCCAGTAAATAATACTGTTTTCACTGTGTCATGCATCTAATAAACAAACTAATATGGAATTACTTAAATCCACAGTGCCCAAGTTTTATACAAGTATTAGAATTTTCTCTAGCTGATGCAAAACCTTAAATAAGTGTAAATGAAACAAATTCAACATGTTACAAAATAAAGTTTTTGTGAATCCAGTATATATGCTATATGTATATATATATATATATATATATATTTATAATCCTTGCCCAGAACAATAATAGACCTTTAAGAAGTAACATTCCTGTAAGCAACTCAATATTTTTCATTCACTTGAACAGAAATGTCATGCTTGTATTCTTCTTTATGTATCTGTGAAAAGATCGATAGTAAACAGGAGTGAAATGGAAAAATTTGATAAAGCTTTTACGATTTGAAGAATGAATATTTCCTCTAAGCTGGGATTAACTACCGCCTCTCGCATAGATTTTGCCTTGCTTCTTCTGAATCATTCAGAATACTGTTATTGAATGCCTGAATAAAACTTCCATATATTCGTCCTATCAAAAAAAAGAAAAGTACTTAATATAGTACCCATAAATTAACAGATATACAGCAGTTTATTCTCCAGGTTTTCGAAGAAACTGGACTGAGTTGGAAATCAAAACGTTACCTTCCTTTTTGACTGTCAGCTGTTAGAGTGTTTCTTAAATTTGGATCCTTATAGACCAATTTTAAGACGAAGTTGAATCTATTTTATCTGGTCTTTATTTAGGAAGATACGAATTTTCGATCATTTGAACTTCACATATTAAGTACTATATAATATGATTCAGTGCGTCGGTGGCATAGCGGTTAGGACTCTCGCCGACCATGCACATGGTCGGGGGTTCGATCCCCGGCCGACGCACTCCTTTACCTCGCTAAGCCAGTAATAATGCTGGTGAAGAGGGAAGGTTGGGAATGAGGCTAGCAACCCCATCCTGTAAAATTAACACTGCTACAGAAACTTCAAGCCACTAGCTTGAAGCCCTATGTTCCACTGGGGAATGTGAAGGAAAAAAATAATATGATTCATGTAATCACCAGTATTTCAGTCTATAAGAAGTGTCTTTCACGTACAGTTTATGCATTTAAAACAGATTGTCAGTTGTGGATGTTGACAGACAATTATTCAAACATAATATCAAAATATTCTTTTCATAGACAGACTAATGTAAAGTAGAAAAAAACCGATGAGGCTCGAAGAAATATTAATTAGAACAAACGCATTGTTGGTACATAGATTTGGTATACTATATCTTCAATGTTTTATTTGCATATCATTTGCAAACTGGTTGAATATCACCACATTCGATAGCCTGTAGGATTCTGCACAGTGTTTGTAACGTTCTTCTCACAGTTCTCTTCATCGATTGCCTTTTCTAATGTCCAAAACATGTTGTTACTTTTCTGAATTCGTTTACTAATATACTACTAATATCTGATTATAAGTAGCACTCACCACTGTAAGACTTCCGTAGTGGGATTATTTTTTCTAACTGAAAATCATATCATTCAGTACGAATGAAATGTCAGTAGTTCATAGAATTAATAATTTTTAGCTTTTCTTTTATAGGTACGTAAAACTCTCTGTTATTCATACCTTTTTTTCCCTAAGTAAACAGTGTACCTTTCTTTGGGAATTTACAATTTGAGGTATCATAGCTAAATGAGTATACTTCTTAAAAGTCCTAAAATGTGTGTATTGATCAAAAAATAATGAGTAATACTTTCTTCCTCAAAAACAAAATTAATGGTATTTATCATAGATATTCAGACATCTCTCTATCTAAAGAAGAAAAAGAAGAAAATCATTGGTCAATCGTTTGATGGAAAAGTGACATTTGACTGAGTTAATTTGTCAATAGCTTATTCACTTCTTTATTATTTAAAGAAAATATCTTAAAGAAATCCTGTTCTACACTGTAATTAATAATGAATACTCTGTGCATTACTCTTTTTTTTAATCTGTGATAAGATTGAGAAGTTGAATTGTCTTGAAAATCATTATGCGAATACTGATCAAATCTCAGTTGTTGAACGAAATTTACAAACGGTACAAACTCATCTGGAAAAAGTTCAAAGAGATTATGAGGTAAGCAGTCTTTTCTATTAGAAAAAAAAGATTTGTTCGTTTAACTGAATTAAATGACAAGGTACTACAATCCATTTTGGATGTACTTATCGTTAACACGAAGTCAATAAGAAGCTCTTAACTTGAATCTGAATGTTCTTATCGTCAGTCAAAGTGTTTTATGTGCATCCGAAAGGAAATTTATGTTGCCGCCAAGATTTAGACTTGTGTCATTCAGTGTCAAATTTAGATGTTTACACCACCGTTTTCAACAGTTACAAAAGACTGTATTTGATTAATAGCTAGAGACAAAAATATTAGCTCATATCATGCATCAATAATGATTCTTGTCAATTCGCGGTTTTCAGTGCCACTGCTAGGACCAAACAGCTGTTCAGTACTTCCCGGTTTTCAATGGTTCTCTGACTGATATGAATCCGTTGTCACATCCTGAAGCCAATCAAATCCCTACAAAGTAACGCTCGGAAACTAATCTGATGCTCACTAGTTGCCTAGAGTTCTGGTGAGAAGTCATGACCAGTGGGATCCACCAGGGTGGGTGTGAGGATTAATACTCGCCTATGATGTTGGCTGGTGGTGGAGCAAATTAAGAGAAGTTAGAATTCATAGGCCATCAGATTCCTTTTCAGAGGCTGAACGGTCAACGACCTGTCCTCATAACCTGAAGTTCCTTGGCTTGTTGCTTGGTGGGGTTGTTTGTACACACTGATGAAGTGTCCCAAACAAAAACGAAACAACTGTCCAGTACTCCCTTGTTCCCTAACTGATATCATTCCTTGATCAAAACATGAAACTAATCAAATCCCAACAATCTAACACTGAAAAGTGTAAAGAATTTGTTAGGCATCCTAGGATTTCCAGTTTGTATTCTTCAGCTTTCTTCAAACATTCAATACAAGGATTATGTTAAAAATGCATATGATTTTTAAAATGCGGAAAATTCCCATCCAGACATGGAAATAATAATAAATAGTTTAATGTAAAGACTCATTTTAGAAAACTTATTCACTTAATTGTAGAATCGCAAATATAATTATTTTTTATGTGTGTGTGTGTGTGTGGGGGGGGTACATTCAGACTGTCGAACATTGAGAAACAAAATAAAAATAAGTAAGTTTGAAGTACTTTTTTACTTCATGAAAACATTTTAAGTCAGTGAAGACTAATCAAATCGTAACTAATGGTGTAAAGGTCAGTAAGTTTAGACTAAGGATTGCGTAATAGAAAAAAGAACGTTCAAAAAATTGGGTTAGTAAAGTTGAATGATTCTTCACTCGACGATGAAAAACATAATACCATATTCATATTATTAATCATATATGCATTCTTAACAGATGCATAATCTTCTCTTTTCTTATTGTATGCTAGAAATCGCGTAATGAGTGCACCAGCTTGTATGTAACACTTCGTCAATTGGATCAAGAGAAAGATCATCTTCAAACATGTTTGGATGGGCGAACAGAACGTTGTATAGCTTTAGAACGTCAGTTGGCCATTTATGAAACACAAGTAAAAGATTTAAAAGTAAGTTCAAACATTCCATTTTATTTTTCATTTCTTATAGTAAAGAATGTTCGTCGGTGGCACGGCGGTAGAATACTCGCCAACTACGCATGTAGTCCGAGGTTCGATCCCCGGCCGACGCACTCCTTTACCCCGCCAAGCCAGTAATAAGACTGGTAAAGAGGGAAGGTTGGGCATGAGGCTAGCGACCCCATCCCGTAAAGATAAACACCACGGCTACTGAAACTTCAAGCCTCTAGCTTGAAGCCTTATGTTCCACTGGGAACGTTAGGGAATAAAAAAATAGTAAAGAATGAGAAGCAAATCCATGGCAACTCAACCTCTCCTCTTACCTTTTAAATTTTACTCAATTCATAGACTAATATTGAAACATCCGAAAAGCAAGTTATACGACTTACTCAATCGATTGTTGAACGAGAAACTGAAAATCGTGAACTTGTAGAACGATTATCTAAAACAGAATGTGACCTGAAGTCTACGTCGAAAAATCAAGAAACACTTATCAAAGAGATTGAGAAGACAAAGGTATGTTTAATTGCTTTATTAATTAATGCTTGTCTCAAAGTTTGATTTACATTATTTGTGATAATGACCCACATTAGTTAGAAATTATTTTCAATAATTTTTAATCATACTTAAGTTTAATATGGACTTAGTATAATTAGCTGTCGAAATCTATTATTATTATTAGTTATTATTATTCATAAGTTGTCTATTTTAAGGTATTTTAACATTTTGTTGTCACCTTACTCTATCTGCCAATACTAGTCTATAATTTATGTTCCTAAAATTATACTTCTGCTGGTTTTAAGACTGCATATGAGTGTTTTCGAAGTATGTTTGTTCCATTGGTCACGGTATAATCGCGTGACTCATGCTTTTTTGTGCATATATTTATATATACGGGTCATGCCAAGCGTCTGGTCTTTGGTTTAATGCAGACTGGTGGCTCACCAACACCACGCTGCACTGTGAATTGATGTTAGGCAGTTGGAGGCAATAAGCAGCAAACTCTGACTAACCTAGGTTTCGTGTTTGTTAGGTTTTGTCAGCAAGGCGTGTCTGCAGCCATGAAGGAACTCATTTCTCCTCTGAGATTCAAACCCACGTCACTATGTTCTGCAGTTAGAGACGTTACCAGTTTACCTTGCATCAAACCAGGGAATGGACACATGACATTGTTATACCCTAGTGACTAATCAAAGTATTCACTGCATTTTTACAGAAGGTCAACTGTGATTCCAAATAGCTCAGTGGTAATGTCTCTGATTGCAGCACATAGTGACGCGGGTTCGAATCTCAGAAGGGAAATGAGTTCCTTCAAGGTTGAAGATACGCCTTGCTGACAAGTAAAAACAAGCACGAAACGTAGGTTATATATATATATATATATCTTAACATTATTTTTGTAATAGTATTCTGTGTTAATTATACCTAGGCTGATATGGAGATATTGGTTGGTGAAACACAACGACTTCAGGCAGAGATAAATTCTTCATATGAAAAACAAAGTGAATTAGTTAGACGTGTAGCTGACAGTGAAAAAGAGCTTACAAGTGTGCGTGATCAGTGCTCTTCAAAAGAACAAGAACGAGCAGAGTTACTCAAAGAATACAGGTTTGTTTACACATTTAGTTATTTATCTTCAAAATGCATATATACATTTTATAAATATCGATAAATTTTGATGACTATTTTGGTATCTGTTCTTCAATTAGTTCATGTACTTCATCCATTCCTGTTAGGAATCAGTCTTGATCTAAATGATTTAACAGTAAATGGCTTTAACCTGAAAGCTTTTTTGTTCCAGAAGCTAGATATAGATGCAGATATATTTTGCTGATCATTGCCAACAAACGGTGAACCTACATCTATGGCTTCTTACTAATCTAGTAAGAATGTGGTGAGAGCCAAATTGATAGACAGTAATTTATGTCAATGTTAACGTTCTGAAGATTTGTCGTGAGAAAATATGAACAAAGACTGATTCAAAACCGATCATCAGACTTTGCGTAGGCGGATACAGTTAACATATAGATGATCTGACATTCAAGAAACAGTCACAAAGAGATGAAAGATTAACTTTAAGTGAGAAACAACCAATCAGAAGATTGTGTTTGTTTGCTTACAATAATCTATAATAATGTACATGAAAATATATAAATATGCTTTGATTTCCTTAATAAACGATCTGTTGCATGGCCCTTGTCTTCTGTTGTTACAAGAACAATAAACATAATGGTGCATAGTTTTAATCTTACCATTGTTTTCGGTGCATACTGTATTCCAGTAGCGCCGATTCATTCATCATTCTTAGAGATAGGTGAATGTTTCTGAAGGTTCTGAAGTGCCAAAAGTGTCACATGAATAGTCAGTTAACATCATAGTTTAAGATACTTACTTGACCTTGACCTTGGCGGCCTGTTTGAACATTTTGGGCTACCATATTCCATGTACATTTTGCATCTATTTACTCATATTTTGTTGGTGTTTACATTTAAAATTATGCATTCTAATCGTATCATTCACTCTCGGGATTATATAAAATGCTTAAAACCTAAAAACTTTCATATTTGCAATAAACTCAAGAAAAAGCACCATGGTGGTTGGCAACGTGCTTTAAAATCTACACCCATACATCAAACTACTGTTCCGGTTATCGTTAGTACGAACTGTCGGTCACTGCCTAACAAAATTCTGGATTTTCAGTCCCTGTTGTTGTCCGAAACTTATCATAATACTGGTATTGTAACTCTACAAGAAACCTGGCTTCATGACTCATATGATGACAATATAGTATCTTTAAATGATTTTAATGTATTCCGACAAGACCGTGTTTGTTCCAAGAAAAAATGCGGCGGTGGAGTAGCTACATTTATTCACTCAAAATGGTCTATTTCTAACAATGTTTGTTTCAAATTCTCGAATGACTACATTGATTGCATCACTGTCAGATGTCGCCCGAGACACTTGTCAAAATACAAATTCATTTATATTTCTAATGTTTATGTCTCTCCTGGCTGTACCATATCGGATTTATCTATGTTCGCAGATGAATTCACCGCTTTTGCTGCAGCTTGTTTCGAGAACTCTTTATCAATAGTGACTGGCGATTTTAACTCTTGTGATCACTCCTTCCTTATATCACTTGGCCATGACAATATTGTTAACTTTGCTACCCGTCTCGAAAAAACACTAGATCTAGTATTCATCAATGATGTTGGTATATATGAAGCTCGCAAACGTGCTCCTGTATTGAACTCTGACCACTGCATCATACGTGTACTGCCTAAAATATATTCCAAATCACACAAACGTGTCTTCTCTCACCTCTACAGTAAATTTCAACGGAGATGCTACTCACAAGATAATCTAAGCAAACTCAGATGCATGTTGATAGATACTAACTGGGACCTATTTACAGAACAAACATTAAATGACACAATCACAAACACCACAGATTATCTTAAATTCTGTTTGGAAATATGTTGTCCTAAAGAAACATTATTCACTCGTTTTGACCGTTTCTCTTCTCCATATCTCAAAAAGCTCCGTAGAGATAAAGAACTGTTGTTCAAAACAAATGATAAGTCAGGTGTAAAAAAGCTAAATCCTCTGATAAAACTCGAAATGCACAGACTAAATGTTTTATACAACCAAAGATTTTTGTCATGTAAAACCCCTTCTAGTTTATGGAAACTTTTTAAAGAAATAACTAGCGGTAAGCGGTGTAATTCTGTACAATCTCTTAATGTTAATAATCTTAATAAGTCTTTCATACGCTCCTCTGACGATATCCTTCCTAATGATACAAATCACATAGACAATAATTTTAATGGTTTTAATACCCTTGATGTGCTTAAATGTCTCCGTTCTCTTAAGCCTTCCCAAAGCCTTGGTCCTGATGGCGTACCTGCCATTGTCCTCAGGAACTGTGCTGATATTTTGTGTTACCCTCTTACTAATATTTTTAATGCTTCCTTTTCCAGTAATGTTCTACCTTCTGCATGGAAAAACATTAAAATTGTCCCTATACCAAAACAATCTTCTGGTACCGATAGTAAATTTAGGCCTATTGCAATTACTTCTCCTTTTTTAAAATTGATGGAAAAACTACTTTTACTTCGTCTTGAACCTTCATTGAAAGCTTTTAATGACCCTAAGCAATTTGCATATAAACATGGTAGAAGTACCTTGGATGCTGCGGTTGTCTTATATCATAATGTTGTTTCTTGTTTAGACAAAGGTGCCAAATATGTCCGTGGTGCTTTCCTAGACTACACATCTGCGTTTGACTCTGTACCTAGGGGCCTTTTATTAAATAAGCTCTCCTTGACGCACACAGCATCCTGGGCTAAGAGTTGGTTGCATTCTTATTTTTCTGATAGAATGCAGTATACTGCATATAATGGCAAATCTTCTTCTGCTTTGCTTACAAAAGCCGGTGTTCCTCAAGGTGCCGTCCTCTCTCCCTTTCTTTTTTCTTTCTTCTTACATGACCTGCCACATTTAAACGAAACCAATTTTGTCAAATATGCTGATGATCTGACTGTATCACTGCCTATCACTTCTGAGTCTGACTGCTCCAAACTTAATAGCTTTTTGTTGGACATCAGCATGTGGTCTAAGTCAAATGGTCTTATGTTAAATCCTTCCAAATGTCAGGCAGTTAACTTTACCTTCAACCATCGACGTGACATACATGAACTAGTTAGTTCCCATGATGCCTGTAGCATAGATGGTACAGAAATTGAAACCAAATCAAGCATTAAATACCTTGGATTAGTTCTTTCCTCGGACCTTTCATGGTCATCTCACATTTTATTGGTCTCTAAGAAAATGTTTCGTCTTACCTTCTACATTAAAAAGTTAAGACAACAAGGTATCAGCCAACCTTTAGTTCTGCGATTTTTAAACTCCTGTATTTTACCCATTTTACTTTATTGTTCTCCATTAATCTTTCCTGGGCTTCTTAAAAAAGACTATGCCGTTTTACGAAGGGTATTAAATGCTGTGAGTAGGGCTTGTGGTTTGCCACTGCGTGATCTCGCCAATACCATAGTCGAGAGACACGTAAATTCCTGTAAAAATTGGGCAAAGGCCGTACTGTCAGACCCTCTGCACCCTCTTTATTCACAATTATCCCCTTGTATCTCATCAGGTAGAACGAGAAGTCAATATAAGAAATTATATGCTCGTACCACTAAGTACAAAAATTCTACAATACCGTACTTAGCCCGTATTTTATGTGATGAAGACACTGTTAGACGTGAAACATATAAGTTACTATGTAATTAGCATAGTGAATCGACCCTTTCATTGTTCATCTTTCTGTAATTCTATGGTGTCACCCTTTCTATCGTTTAATTATAACTTTGCTATTTTTATTTTAGTTGTTATTACTATTATTACTATAATTTTATATTTTTCTCCTTATCCTCTACTGTAATTGCTACATAGCTCCTATAAAAACGTTTTGTTATCATTATTATGTATTAATTATTCCGTTTATCTACTTTTTTTTGTTTGTTGTTGTCGTTTTTGAGTAAATTAGATGCAATACTGTACTGAATGCTGAAAATTCCTTGCTGTATCATTATTACTGTTTTTGGAATAAAGCAAAAAAAAAATTATTATTATTATGGTGGAGTTGCGAGGGGAATGTCGTACTGCTGGTGAGTTAAGGTGTATTAGAATTAACGTGCTCTCCACGGACCAGCATCAAGCCAGTTGCTCTACATTCTCGTTGTGAAAATCATCTTTTGAATACCCTAGCCAGAAATCCAGGCACGTTTGGCACGTATTTCGTACCTGCCAAATCTGAAATGATTCCACAGGATCGGTGTGCACCGAGTCTTAATTTAAGCATATAGAATGAAGTGATTGAATGTGTGTATGACCTAACTTATCTAGGAAGTTTCACTAGTAGTAATCTACTCTAGTTGTTGACCAAATCTCATGGGGGATAAGAAAGGCTCGTTTGCCACTTATTTACTAACGTCATTTTCGATGCAGGTACAATATTCACTTGTCCATCAACAACCGTGTGTTCTGTACAGCTGTTACTGCTGTTCAACCATAGAGTTGATACAAGATTTTTCTAGTCATAGGTATCTTCGTTCACCTTCTCGTACTGCATATTACGACTATTAATTTTTTGCGTTCCGAGTGGAGCATAAGGCTTCAAATGCACTTTCGGATTGGATTGTGAGGGTGATTGTTACTGCCCGGCTGCCCACACCGTGGAAGTTGGTTGCGTGACCGCAGAGCCCTGGGGACAACTGCTTGAGGCCGGTCACACGCGGCCTGTTTTGTTTGTTCTTTTTTATTTGATATGTCTCAGAAGCATATTTATCACTTCTGCTCTGTGACACGACAGCAGGAAGCACAGTCGTTGTTAATCCGGGCCCCGACCGATCCGGAATGATATTTTGTGATTTTGTTTGAGTCATAGCATTGGATTGGGTAACTGCTTTTTGTCTAACCGCTCTCCAAACAACTTTCTGGCATGGTAGGACCTCAAACGACATAAGTCTCAGCCACTATAACTTGTTGAGTCATTGCGGTGTTCAAGCCCGACCACCACGTCAAGGTAGCAGCTTTCAGTCGAATGCACACCTCCAATATGCGCGATTCTCTGTCATCACTTCCAGCTAGCGCTACTACTGCCAGTAGTAAGTAATAACGGCGTTGGGTATTGATAGGAATCAGGTTAAAATATGAATCATCTTGTGATTGGATGACTGTATAATTTCATCATCTTTTTCTCACCTTGGTCTTGATCAAATCTTCAACTAATCAGAATATTTATTTCTCGCCTACCTTAGCCGAATAGCCTATCAATTCGCACAATCTATAAATATGACTTACTTTTTCCCAATAAAATTGTATCCTAACAATCACAGGCGAGTCTTTGTCTTCTGGCATTTACGTGGCTCAGTAAAGCAGTAGGTACCACGGACGAATAGGCGTAACTAGCATATCAATTGAATTGTCCATTGAGTCAGTATTATTATACCCACACATAAGTCCATTCGGTCATATCAGCTGTCGACACGATCATGTCAGTTGGCGACATAGATCATAACAGGTATACAGTGTTAATGTAAAGAAGGAATATCGCTTGATGAGTTTATGAAGCTTTGTCACTTACGGTGTCTAGAACAGGAAGAAATTAAGCAAGCAGTAGCCTCCCTTCATCAACAGATTTTACCACAGTAATACACATGTATCTTAACCATAATTACTAATTGTTCACCTTATTTTCTCTTGCATTCAACACAGGACCCTTGCATTTCAGCTAGATGAAAAGATAACACTGATTAATCGTTTGGAAAATCAACTCAAAGACTTGGATCAAATACGTTCTGTTCAAGAGAAAGAATTGTCAGATTTACGTGAACAATCACAAAAGTTAAAAAATGAATGTAGTAATTATGCTCAAGTTGTACAATCACTAGAAGTACAGGTACATATACTATTTAACATTCATTGTAGCCAAGTTGCTTGGTTTTGATTTTTCAAATTTTGCTCTTTGCATATATTTAGCTTTTCAGGTGATACCTACTTCTCCATACCCCTATAAGTTGTTCAACTTTCTTTAACATAGTTCTTTTGCAACATGATTTTGTTTCAAGGTATGTGATTACATTTTTAAAGATATGCGCAAATCATCATAGTATACCTAGTGAAATTCCTTAGTTCCAACTGATATTGCCTAAACTTTCAATATGCTTTGTTTATGATTGTCAATTGTTTGGATAACACATTTTATAATAATACAACAGTGATTTGGAGAGTATTTTGAACGTGTACCTAAAGAATACGCTTTCAGTGATTCTTGTGATATAGCTGTCCAAATTTCAAATCAAAGTTCCATTCAATTTGTGTTGACCACAAAATTCTAGACATCTGTTGTATTTTCTAGTTGTGGGTTTAATGTCTATTGGAAACCGTTAAAGAACACAAGCGTTCAAAGGACAAAATAAGTCTGAGTAATTCAAACGCTGGAGAAAATAATTGTGAGCACTATAACTATAAGGTTAAAAATGGGCGACTAGAAGTACATTGGTTAATTACAACATCTTACAGAAAGCGTGAGAGGTTTGTAAATGTGGACAGCGTTAGAACTAAAGATAATAACCTTTTACCCATGTACGGTACCATCCTATAGGTTTCTTTTTTTCACTCACATAAAATATTGGGCGATGATATGGCATATCCTTAATGTACACCAGTTTTAATTAGCGCCACTAGAATATTAGTAAAGACTAGGAACTTCTGATGCAATAAGCCACATATACTATCATGAAACAATAAAGATGCAATTTTAGATGCTTAACTCTAAAGCCCATTGCTTAGGCAGGACAACCAAACAACATTTACTGCCACAAACTGACAAGACGTGTTAATTGAAACTGATGAATTTAGGGGGGAAATGCTTTAACATTACTGAGAACACCTATAAATTGTTAACTACTAGTCAATTAGAATAAAGACATCTATTATAAATTTTCTACTTCATACTATTTCTTCCATATTTCAAGCTCAGTCTACTCAAAAGAACTGCTTCTGACTCAGAACAACGAGTTAGTCGTTTACAGACAGAAAATGAAGAAATTCGTCGTGATTTAACAGACACACGAAATCTGTGTGATCGTTTAGAACGTCAGGGGAATTCATTTCAACATCAATACACCATAAGTAATCTGGAAGTAAATCAGCTAAAAGCAAAATTGTGTGAAACAGAAAGAGAAATAACCGATCTTCGAAAGCAGGTATTCAGTGGGATTTTTTCCACATTTCTTAATAGATCTCTAATTGTTTTTTGCTTTTCCTCACTCAAACATTTCATAGTTCCTCTTAATTACGTCATTTTTTTTGCTGGATGTTATGACTGGCATTTTTATGGGTTTTGTTTTAGTTAGGTTTAATCGAAAAATGCTACTGTTAGTCTGTCTGAAATAATACCCATTGTAACATATAGAAAATCAAAACAATGATTCAGCGAAGAACTTACAATGTTTGTGATTATAATCGTAGTTAAATGTCAAGTGGTAAAGCAAATTAATGTCATATATAGAATAATTCATAGGATGGATAGAACTTGAAAAAGGTGTGCAATTATAAGATTAGTAGACAAATCGAATGAAATAAAAACGTTACGTAATATTGTGTGAAATTTAATAGATAGAATTTAATGTTGCAAAATATTAAATACAAGTGAAATAATACCGGGGACAATTAAAAGTGAGAGTAGTAATAGTAACAATTGACTTAGTAAGGAAGAGTATACAAATTGAATAGACAAAAATGAAAAATCGGTAGAGCTAAAATATGATTAGGGATTACTACTTTATATAGAGGGATTAAGACAGGAACGACTTCTGTACACAGAGATCTGCTTTTTTCGATAAACAGAATACAGATGTTGTAATTACTTTGCCTTGTAGATGACTTTGAAGCGAGTATAGAGATAAAGAGTTTGCTCATGTTTTGATTTTTATATGAAATAATAATGACTACTTCTGATAGTGAATTTACGAGAGTGTCAAAAACGTACTTTTCGCTTTCAGGCATGAAAGACAGACACATGTGAAGATACTTTTGACTTCACTAATTGTACAATCAAATCAACGTATTTGTGTACCACACATGAAGGAATTGTTGTTGTTTAGTCAAGCCACCAATAAAGATGAAAAATATATACGCATACATCAAAATACTCTATAAGAAAAGGCGTTCAGCGAAGAGTTACGCATTTTAGCGATATCATTATCAAACTGTACAATCGCGCATATATAGTAAATTATCTTAGCAACCAAAGGAATATTTTCAAAGATGTGTCATTAGAATTGTAAATTACGTAACGTAGAAAGCATTAATGTAGTAGAAACTAAAATTAAGTTACATAAGTAAGTTGAGTGACGTAATATAATTGACAGGTTTGAATGGAATTCAACTAAAATTTGACGACAGACAAGTTAACAACAGTGGTAATAAGAGGTAGAGATTTAATAGGGGGTGGAGGAAGAAAATAATACAATTAAGAAACAAAAAACAAAAATTACTTGTTTGGTGTTAAGGTAGATCAGGTACATTGTAGGGGTAATGACTGAACAAACTTCTGAGTTTAGGATTTAACACATGTGAATTGCCATTGCTTCTGCGATTTGAAGAAGTTTTATTTGTACTCTTTTAGCAAGATTCCCAACGTATTCTGTAGACAACTTTGAAGTTCCTTTGTCGGTTAGCTTGGTGTCCAGATACTATCAAGTGTTCCATAATAGAACTCTAGCGGGGGATATTTTTTCTGCTGTATAAAACTATGACTGTGGGTAAGTGTTCGATGATACGTCTTGATAGCAAACTCTGAGGCGGCCAACATACCTACCTGCACACGAGCAGGTGTACTGGTAGATGCACATTGATGAGATCAACAGTGGTAGCTTATCCTTCATGTTCATGCGAATCATTGGTTTCGTATAGAAAGTTATTCGAAGTTCAGCCACGAAGAGAGTTTTCTTCAGTGAGCGGTAAAGATGGTTTCTCAAAATACTCTTACAGCTCCTAACCTTTAAATCTTCTTATTATTTCAGACATTTATGCATCATTCTACTTTTCAGGACAAGAGCTGGTAATTTAATCTGAAGAAGGTATCATCTTAAGCAGGGATACCTATTATTATTTGTCATATGACAAGCGTAATACACCTATACTGTGGCTGCTTCAGCTGATCCTCTGAAAGGGAGATTGACAGTCCATGATCATATGTGAATACTCATTAAAAAAATAATTTTATTAATTTTGTTTCTGTGTCAGCTATTTGTTTTTGACAATTTTTATTAATTTTATTACGATGATGTGTTTTTAAAATGTGATCACGAGATTTCGCAGACGTCATTTATATTCACCTCTGTTACTTTTAGGTTGATCATGAGCATGAAGCCTTACGAAGTTTCGAGTCCATTTTAGGATCAAGTCGTGAAGCTGAGCATACAGCACAACTTGAACTAAGAGTAACGTCATTTTTCATTGCTTTTATTTTATTCATAAATGCGTTTATTCTCGTTAAAATTACTTTGATCTTATTGATATTTTAAGATACTTTATTCACCTTCTGGTGTAGTTTTTGTTTAAAAAAGAAGATGAACTGTAAGCATGCAAATCGGTATAAATGTCATGATTTATTTCAAAGAATTATTTTTCAATGAACTGTTATCATTTTTACTTAAGCAGATAATCAAGGTAAATATTCATCTGCTTGAATAATTGGGCTACACGAATTTCCATCCGATACAATACATCAAATTTTTCTCCATTTCTGATTGTTTAAATCATGCAGTAATAATCTTTGGGTTGTAAAATGTACTTAGGCAAATTTTTAATTGACTGTCAACCTACTGCTGTGCATTTCCCGGAGACGAAGGGAAAGTATCATGCGGCATCAGCTTATGCGACACAGCGAACGATATTGTCTTATATGATGTACTGTGGATGATTGCTTTTCAAGTATTGGTTTGTAGGCAGTTTTGTTGATTGGTTGGAGGATTTCATCATGAACTGACATCGGTTAGAGAACCATTGGAAAAACAGCCAGGGAGTACTGGACAACCAGCTGTTTCGTCCCAGCTTGGGACTCTTCATCAGTACGCGCCCACAGCCAGGATTCGAACTCAAGACCTTCTGGTTACAAGGCGAGCTCGTAGACCATTAATCCACTGGGAGCTGATTCAATGGCCTGCGCATGAATTCCATCTTTTTCCAATTCGCGACATAGCACGACCACTTAGCAATGTCTTCGATGAGTAACTGTCCCCACTTTACTTGAACATCCTAAACGAAGATAAAATATTATGCAATAAATTACATTCCGTCAACATTTTTTCTTCAAAATAAACCTATTATTACTACACATTCTTTCAGTAATTAAATGTAGTAAGAGTAGTGTCTGAAGTTCAACTATGGATGCCTTTATACTACGCAGTTGGTCAGTTAGACAGTATCCTTCATCTCAATCAAGTAAATTATTTTGACATTCAAGTACGCGTTTTGTAATAGTTATCCAGAGGATTTGATACGTTTTAAAATCTGTTTTTCCACATGGTATAAATTTTTATTTTGCTAAGAAAATAAGATTGACCAAGTATATCAGGATTGCTGTAACATTTCCTCACCTAGTTACCATTTTACTCACCTGAAATAAGAAATCAATTTAGTCGTAATATGGGAAATGTATTTCTAATTGTTGTTTAATACTTTGAACTTGAAGCTAAGAAACTGTAGCGTAATATGATGAGGCTTTTAAATTAAATTAAATGAATGTGCTCATGCATCAGTATACATTCAAACTGTGCCCCATTCTTTTTTCTAACTTAATCAGGAATGTCGAGCTGAAGTGTATTCTCTACGTGAACGTTTATCTGCCAAAGAAGCTGCCTTATTGGAATCTGAGAATGAAATTGCGAAATTGAATAGACAATTATTATCACTTCAAAAACAGCCGAATAATCCTTCACCTGTGGTTACTATTCATGTACCCAACAGAGGTTCACCAGTAAAATCTGTATGTGAAAATAATATAAATACTTCAAAAAATGAACATCTTAACAATTGTAATAATGTTCATTCCAATATCGATCTACTGCCTAGTCCTACATCATCTATTGAATTACCAATTGAGTATTCTGTCCGAGAATCTATTACTTCGCCTGTCTCATGCTCAGCGTAAGTTTTACTATACTATTTTACTATGCTGATTCAATTGTCGAACTGTTTGTATTCATTTTGTAGTAAAACAGTTACTAAGCTAATATATTACTAGAAAAAATAGGTCTGTACATGTTTGGTTTGATTACAAATGCTGAATAGTTTGTCAGTATTTCCATCGCATATTCCTTTTGCAAATTATATCACGAATCTTCATATTGTAATCTGCGTCTGCTCACATTGATAAGGTTATGATATAATAATGTTCTGCGTAATGTAAGGCTACAAATCTTTGATCTATCAGTCAAATTGTACAAAAGCTAATCCTGATCTTATAATTTGGTATATGTTGCATACTTTCGATCATTTTCGATCAAGTTTCATGTCATTTAAACGGACTATAACAGATATATGTAAGGATTAGTGAATTGTGGGATTTCCGCTTATCTAATTGATATATTTATTTTATTATTCCCTTGGGTTCCGAGTAGAACACAGGGCTTCAACAACACATCTCCACTTTGCTCTATTTTCTGCTGTCCTCTTCAGCTGGCTAGCACCACGATCGCCCATAATCACTGATCTCCTCCTCGCTACATGATCTCCTCCAAGTCACCCTACGATAACCTACTCTTCGTTTCCGGCTCGGCTTCCACTCGAGCAATGGCCTGTATTGCGAGCGGTGTCATTCGAGGGCCTCCTCAACGTATACCAGATCCATCTCCATCTTCTCCTACATATTTGTTGAGCAATCGGCTCTTGGTTGCTTCATCGCCAGCCAGAGTTTCTTGTTGCTAATTCTTTCTGGCTGGCCATTTCATCTTCAATATAGAGCCAAAGAAGGAGGCAGTTGTTGATAAAAGTCTGCAGTGGCCTGTTGGAAATCCTTTTCGTGAAAGACAGTGGAAGTTTCTGACCTGTAAAGAAGAACTGACTGACTTCACATTTGTGTTGAAAATGAGAATCTTGTTGTTTATGCTGTGGCAGAGTGCAGAAGATTTCCAAACTGGTTTCAGGTTGATTAAGGTGTATCTCCCCTTTCCGACCAGCTTCTTCTGCCAGTTTGTTGGCTTACTCTTGCAAGTCTTTGAGTTTGTGTGACATTAAACATAAATTATCTGCGAAATGCAGTTCTTCTAGAGTCTTCGTATCGGTCCAGCATATTCCTGTCTTCTCACTCCTCACAATCTGATTCATAATCCATTACACCACAATTAGGAATATTATTGGTGATAATTGATACCTAATTAATTTCGACAAACATTTGAAAGTTTCATTTTATCCACTGGATTTGTCAGTAATTTCTTGTTATCAATCCACTTCTGTTAACAGAAGAAATGTAGGATGAAACTGCTTTCGGTTTTCATTGTCATTTGAAGATAAACAGCATGTTGTTACGCTATTCAATTACACTATATAAATATGTCCAAATACTAGTTCACTCATTCTCCTATATCTTTTGAATGACGTGATTTACTGTGACTCATCTTTATTACTGTGTGAATAATAGCGTTTATAAAAGTCAAAAGCCAATATACACCCTTTTGCTATTGCATTTCATCAACAAAGGTAATCACTGATTCACTTTAAAAGAAAGTAAAGAAAGTACTGTGGTGTGAAATGAGATGAATTTTTCAAAGAATATATAGTGGATTGCTTTTAACGCATTTCATCACTCTAACCTCTAGCTCCTCTAGCCTTATTTGCTAAAACATTTAATTTTGACAAAGTTGTGAAGTCTAGTGTGTTAATATAGACTCTCTTCTAATCGTGTAGAAAGAGAATTAATAAGCATCCTGAACTCTTGGTCGAATTTAAAGATAAACTATGTGAAAATGCACGTTTGTAATAGTGATAAGCTTTAATTATATAATTTAAGTTGTTGAGTCGTTTTATCTTTATAAGTTGGCAGGATAATACTGAACAATTAATATTACTTCCTAATTTCTCCATAGTTTTGTTGAATAACACTGGTATGAAAAAGAATGTTATCAATCGTAATTTTCTTCAGACTGATATATGCTAATCACTTTGTGTATGATTCAATATGGGGTATAAATTAGTCTGGGTTTATTAGACAAACTGAGCTTAGTACTAATAGAACATGATAATCCTACATTAAAAAGTTTGTGAAGAATACTCAAGTTTATGTTTTATCAGGTTGGGTGTGAGGAAAAATACTCTCCGATAACATTGGCTGGTGCGAGTCACGCTATATTGTGAATCTGCAGGAGCTGGAATTCATGGGCTGGCCATTGGATCGAGTTCCAGTGGCTTAATGGTCTACAAGCTCACCTTGTAATCGGAAGGTCCTGGATTCGATCTCCTGTTTGCGGGTGCATACTGATGAGCGGTCCCGAACTAGGACAAAACTGCTGGTTGTCCAGTACTCTCTGGCTGGTTTCCCAGTGATTCTCAAACCGATATCAGCTCATGATGAAATCCTGTAACTAGTCGAACCCCTGCAAAACAACACTTGAATATTTTCTATTTTGTACTATTCTTGTTTTCTACATTGATCATCAATTTTCTTTGTTACTTCTGTTGAAATTTCCACTAGTCGTTTGTTTATCGAAATCTCAGTTTACCTACTAGTGAAACATATTTTGACGTGGTTGATGTCGTTTAACTGTGAACCTTTCATTGTCCATCTAGACTTCAATATAAAATGGACTCATTTGAATTCGCCATGAATGATATAATTGCATTTCCTGACAACGTTTTTTGTGATTGACTGTTGATTTGCATCTATAATGATCTTTTTACGAGTTGGTCTCGGACTGATATCAGTTAGAGAACCATTGAAAACCAGAGAGTACTGGACAGCTGTTTCATCCTAGTTTGGGAATCATCGGAAGTACGCACCCACTGCCAGGGTTTGAACTCAGGACCTTCCCTGTAACCGGAAGCAAAGAACATCCTGGACAAATTTACCGATGCATCCTGCAATAAATTTTACCATCGAGAAAGAAAGAGACTGTAGTATTTCATTCCTAGACATCCTTATGACTAGAAAAGAGGACGGTACATTAAGAAGTGTAAATAGAAAACCTACGTCAACTGGTCAGTATACCCACTTTTCCACCTTTGCGCCTTGAAACACAAACGCAATCTGATAAAGCGCTTGGTCCATAGAGCAAGAGCAATCTGCTCTGATGAATGTCTTAATGAAGGACTTAGTATTATTAAACAGTTAGTGAGAACGGTTACCCAGAAAAATTCATCGACAAGAATATGAATCAAATGTCAAGGCAGACCAAAGCACCAACTTCAGTTCCTTGGGGATAACATCAGTGAGAAATTAATACTACGCCTGAGGAATGCGGTAAAAATAGTATTCAGTGCTGCTGAATTATGCTGTGTCTTCAAAACCACCCTTATTTCGCTTCCGGGAGTTAAAGCTAAACTGACTTATTTCGCTTCTTCTATGTGTATCTACCAATCAGACTGCTCCTGTAAAGTGAACCAGTTACATAGGCCGTACAATTAGGCGTGTTTATCGCCGGATTTCCGAACATCATCCTGTTTGGTTAAGTAAGGGACAAAAGAAATCCATACTAACTAATCTTAAATATACCTTCAGAGTTCGTCTGCTACACATTGCTGAGGCTGTTGCGATTTAAGAAACCTAATTTATGTATCCGAAAGAAGTTGGTGCAGACACTGTCCTTACCTTGGCCGTCAAGGTTTTAATGGTGGAAATTTCCTTAATTTTATTTGATATTCTATTTACTATTATACTTTTATACTAATTTTAACCTATGCATCTTTCTTCAACTGTCATTTCACTGGTCTTACCAAATCAATAGTATTTAAGAAACACCAATATTGTTAATAGCGATTATTCTAAAATGTTATATATATATATATATATATATATATATATACATATATATATATAATTGTGGAGCCGGAAGAGGAAGTTATCGAAAAGAATATTCTTTACTCAATTGTTTCTTCTGAATGTCTGAATATTTTCGCTATATTGAAGTATTTCTCTTCTATCCTCCTCAGGACTTGAGTGAGTACTATGGTGTGTTTCACCTCTTTCGAATAATGTCTGCACACAGTTTCTGCTGTGTGTTGTTGGATTATTGCCCTTGTAATTGAGTGTTTGGTCTGTATGGGTTGATTTCGTACATTATTTTTGCTTCTGTATATCCTCTACTTTTTCTCTTGACTAAGGCATCCAAGAAAGAAATTTCGTTATCTGATTCCCCTTCTTTTGTAAATTTCCTGCCTTAATTATTGAATGCTTCTTAAATCATTTCTTCTAATTATGACAAATGTGTCATTGATATAACATATCCAATTTAATTTAGTTTGATTATTAATAGATCGATAGTTTCCAGCCTTTACATAACTGTCTGAACAATTAGTCCTGATAGAGATGATCCTATTGATGACTATCACATATCAAATTATATCTGAAGTGGATTCGATTATTGAAAAGTAAATATAGTTAGCCTTTCTACTTCAATATTAAGTAATATCTTTTTAATAAAACTATTTTCCTATAGTTGGTTTGTAAGGATTAGTTTCGTTTTTACGAGTTGATCACGGATTGATATCAGTTAGAGAACCATTGAAAACCAGCATGGAGTACTGGACAGCTGTTTCATCCTAGTTTGGGAATCATCTGCGGTATGCACCCACTGCCAGGGTTCGAACCCAGGACCAGTGAGGTCCATCCAGTTACGTGTGAGGATGGATGTCCCACCGACAACATTGGTTGGGGTCACGCTAAATCACGAATTGGTAGAAGTTAGAATTCATGAGCCATTGAATCTAATCCCAGTGGCTGAATGGTTAACGAGCTCTCCTTGTTACCGGAAGGTCCTGAGTTCGAACCCTGGTGGTGGGTGCATACTGCCGATGATTCCCAAACTAGGATGAAACAGCTGTCCAGTACTCCAGTGCTGGTTTTCAATGGTTCTCTAACTGATATCAATCCGTGATCAACTCTTAAAAACAAAACTACTTTTAATCTTATTGTATAAATTTTTTTTATTTGAGTATACACTGATACCATCCAACCTGTTCATACTTTTATGATATGCTCAGATTGAATTTAAAACACGGTATTTTGAGTGTCAAGCCCTCTTCGAAATTAGATTCACAAATAAAAGCAGATGCTGTGGCTCTGCAATGTCAATCATTTCCAGATGATTGTGAGGCAAATGTTCACAAGGAGAATTATAATCATCTTATTCAGTGTATTCATGGCTGTTTTCATAGTATTCATTGCTTCCATGCAAGTGATAATAATAATAATGATAAAGCTGTTACCATCAAACCAGATCAACATCTAAATGTACCTGTTACTTACTGTTCAAGTATCGCCGACGTGACTAAAGATCCAATGTCTCAAAATTTAGGTTACAAATTTGAAAATATATCTTCCAATAAGTCTATTTGTTCATTGGCTTGTGAAGAGAAAACTGCTGATCACATTTCAGCAGAAAATAACTCTGATTTCAACTTTAAAACAAGTTGTGATGAAATATATAATGAATCAACATTTTCTCAGGATGTTTTCTCATCACCACCTATAATGGCGACAAGCGTTGACAATGGGTCTGTGTGTGATCAGATAGAAACTGTTGATAGATCGTTAATTAGTTCAAAGCATACCAGTCAACTGTCTGAGGTTCTAAATTATTCGTTCAAATTTAGTTGTTTGTTTTATCAGTTGTTGTTTTTTCTTCAAAGTTGATTTGCTTAATCCAAATTATTCGTTTGTAATTACCACCATCTACGGACAAGTTTAACTTTTGTTCTCTTTGAAAATTAAATGCTATGCAGACTACACAGTGTTTGGTCCGTTCGACACACAAATGATGTTAACATTACAATCAATACATTTTTATGCTCGTATGGTACTCCTACTGATTAAATAGTATAACACCTAGATGAATTGACTGAGTTTCAACGTAGAACTTAGCACAGAAATGCACCACCAGTTCAAGTTGTTACACTCCATTTAGCTCACAAAAGTAGACAAAGGATGATAAATAAGATATTTAAAAGATCAATAATAAGCACAAATATACGGGATAAAGAATAGTAATATGGAAAAAGATGTTGGTTCAGTGGATATAGAGGAGAGTGCAAAGAGTGAATGTGTCTGCGTCATTTGGAACTAATTTAAGCCATATCATCAGTAGTTTTTGATATAGCTGTGTTCTTTGAACTGGATGGTTTATTTTTTGAAGCTTTCTTTGCCCTCTAGACAACATCTTCAGCGCATACTTCAAATTGAAGTGAGCTTTTAGATTTCTCCACGCGTTTATTAGTCATCTCTCCTGGTGACTTTGAGCGTGATTGGTCGTTTTTGTGCGTTTTCACACCCTGTACGCTACTTGTATTGGTATTGGTGTTGACTGCCTCTTTGACCTGAAGTTTTACCCTTTGTGTGTGAGATTTCCTTCTTATCGATTGATAAATTTCGGTAATTTTTTGACAATCTCACACACAAAGGGTCAAACTTCAGCTCAAAGAGGCAGTCAACAACAATACCAATACAAGTAGCGTAGAGGGTGTGAAAAGTCACAAAAACAAAAAAAGCCCACTTCAAATTGAAGTATGCGCTGAAGATGTTGTCGAGTAGGGCAAAGAAAGCTTCAAAAAATAAGCCATCCAGCTCAAAGAACACAGCTACATCAAAGTCATCCACCTGATCTACAAATCTGCACCTTCATATCACCAGTAGTCTTCAATCATTGGTTCTCAGTATCCCGAGGACACCAGTCAAACAGTCTAAACTAACTGTCAAACATGTTTTTCCACTGATGCCGTGTTTTGGTTTGACCACTTTCTCGTTTGTACTGTGGACACCATTTGTGCACCAGGTCATATTCAAATAAGTCAGGGGATTCTATATCTCTTGAGGTCAGTAGTATATACCGTACACTGATTTTTAAGGTTTTCAAAATAAATTATAACTTACTAAGAATCATAATTATCTCCAATAGACTTAAGTGTTTAAAATTGAATTAAATATTAACCTATGGTGATAATCAGTAATATAAATGCCAAATATGGAATGCCAGGCAATAGAAGGTAGATCATTTATTAAAGTTCTCAGACTAAATTATATTATGAAGTCAGAATCTACATTCAGTTCTATGTTGTTTAGAGTAGTAATTGAATCCTTAGAAAACCTAAGATACACTATAAATAGCCTTATTGTTATTCTGACTATGCGACAAATGCTTGGTCTACAATTGTGACACTCTTAAAATAATTCTATTAATTTAAACTGATTTCACTTAATTCACTGTTTTCCTTTTATATTATTTCTCCATAGATTTCGACTCGACTCATGTAAATCACAGCCTGCTGTCACTTCACCTGGTTGTGATAATACATCAGTACTTACTTGGTCGAATCCATCAGTTTTTATTCCTTCACTTACTTATAACTCGAAGACATCGGATTCTGTGAATGAACAGGGTGTTTCATTGTGTAAACTACCCTCAAGTATCAATAATTTTCTATCTAATTCTGATTTAAATCTATCTCAGATAGACGACAGTGGGAGGCCGGTATCTGAAGATATAATATCTAGCAAATGATGTATATTTTGATAATCATATTTAGTTTGCAAACAAACACTGCTGTACCTGTTTGCTTATATAGTTTTCAAAATGATATTTTGGATGTGTATTCAATACTTATTTATTTTTGAGGATCTATTTTGCTACAGTGTATTGATTACAATCCTGGCGTGTGTAACTGATATGATTATAGATAACTATGCCAAATATACTGTGATCACTAGCAGTGTGGAAAACACTGACATGTTTTTCTAAAGTTTTCAGTATTGGGTTTTCGATGGACTTGTGATTTACAAAATTATTGAGAAACATTCATAGAGTTCAAGGTAGAAAGAAGAGACAGGACAAACAGTGACTCACTACAAACACATGAAGACTAATAGAAGAGAGAAGGATGGTAAAACAAAAGATTGTCTAGTGCATCGACGAGCAACAAAAATAGGAGTTGAATACAAGCTACAATACACTGAACAAAACTCTACCAAACAACTAGTTTCCTATCGGGGAAGAGATCAACACAAATTAAGCCAGTGAAGGATGACAATCGTAAGTCAATCACCAAAGAGGCAAAGCAAAGGAAACACTAGGCTGAACACTTCAAAAGACATCTAAATCGACTGCCACCTACAACGCTTCCAATAATACCAGTAGCGGAAGCAGAACTACCAGTGGACATCAACCCTCCGATGAAAACAGAAATCGTGAAGGCAATAAAGATGCTAAAAACTGGGAAAGCAGAAGCAGTGGATCTGGACTTCGCCGATGATATATGTCTGATTTCCCACAAACTAGAAGATATGCAAGTGAAAAGCAACAATTAGGCAGAAGAAGCATCAAAGATAGGACTTCAGGTGAACATAGAGAAAACAGAGGTGATGAAGATTCCTGGCCAACAGCAACAGCAGACAACATTCAGCATAAATGGGAGAAATCTGAAAGAAGCAACCTCACTTACCTGTCCGGGAAGCATCGTTTCAACTACAGGAGGATGGAACTGATGAGGATATGAAAGCAAGGCAAGCTTTCATTACTCTCAAGCCTATGTGGAAATCACCAGCACTCAGCATGAAAAATAAGATCCGGATTTTTAACTCCAATGTGAAGTCAGTGCTACTTATTATACGGATCAGAGACTTGGCGCCGCGTAACGAAAGGCACTTTAAAAAAACTAGAGACTTTCATCAACAGCTGTCTTCGCTCAATACCACTCAAGATCAGATGGCCGGCCAGAAGAGATCAGCAACAGTGATCTCTGTGAGCGAACCAACCAACCAGAAACCGACTGTGCAACAAATATGCAGGAAGAAATGGAGGTGGATTGGCCATACTCTGAGAAAACAAGTGAGTGACATCACACGCCAGGCCATCGCTCGAGTGGAACCCGAATGGGAAGCGGCGTGTTGGTCGTCAGTGCGAGGGTGACATGAAGTAGGTTATGCGAAGAGGAGATGAAAGCATGTTGGCAGACGTGGAGCCAGGTGAAAACGTTGGTGGAGAACGGAACGCAATGGAGACGTGTTGCTGAAATCTTATGTTCCTCTAGGAATTACAGGAAACAATAATAATAAATAATTCATAGAGCATATTAACAAAAAATGGATTGTTGGAAGTTTCATTAAGGATTGATATCATTTAAAGGACCATTGGAAACTAGACAGTACTGAAATTTCTTCGTCCCCACGTTGGACTCTTCAGCAATATATATCCATAGCGCCGCGGGGGACCGAATCCCGGACCTTCAAACTACGAGACGAGTCTATTGATGATTCAGCTGCTGAGACAAATTCCAATGTCTCATGAATTCTAACTTCTTGCAATTCAATCCCTGATGGGGTCACTGGTGCTGAGTACTGAAGAATACCGAACTGGGACGAAACAGCTGTCCAGTTCTCCCTGGTTTTTCTATGGTTGTCTTACTAATAGCAATCCATGGTCAAACTTGAAACCAACTGAATCCCAACAAACTAACACTAGGAAAAATTAATGTTTGAAAATGTCTTCTGGTTAACCAATATAACTTAACTGAATTGTCAACAAAGAATTAACAGCATCGATTAATGATTTCAGTCACTTAGGTAAACCTCCATAATCCTGTTATTGTTATGAATCTGATGAGACGGCAACGGTTTGCCAGTTAGACGACTTTTCCTTTTTAGGGGCTGCGGGTATCGACGTTCGCGAGTTGTACGGATTATACTAACGCAAGATCTTATACCAACAACCACTATAGTGTTCGTTCTTCGAGTACCAAATGGTAAAGCAAAAGACCAGATTTTGTCGTCCAAATACGATATATATTTTGGGACCAAATCGCGGGTAGGAATGAATGCTTAGCTAGCTAGTAATCGTGCACGCACGTGACACGACGGAGCACCAAATGGCGGGGATGCTTGACCGTAAGCCTTCAGCTAAACAAGTCGACTTAAACAGTGATGGTCAGCATCCAATGTTGAGTGATGATTGCTGTGGTTAATAATTTTGGGGAATTATTTACCGCTACAGCTCACTCCCCCCCCCCTAGTGGGGTTGTGAGGACCCTAAGACATGACCAGCCGGAAGTAAAAAAATCTCGATGGTTCCCTGACGGGTGAAAAAAATCTTCCGAGCGGCTTGATGGAGTGCCTGCTGGTCTGTCTTCCTATGCTAATAGGGTGTCTGTACATAGCTTCCTCAGTGTTGTTCGTTGGATCCCGTGCTTCGTTTGTTTCCTGTCCAGTGCCCGTTGCACCTGGAAAAGAAAACAAGAATGCTGAGAACCTTGTCAAGAAAACTGTACCAAATAAGCGTTTTTTTTACCAAAAAAAAAATGACATGCATCTACTATACAGTAAAATAATGTAAAGTTCAAAATATCGGGAAAAAAAAATATACATCTTATATAATTTTATGTACGGTTATAGGAAAAATATCATTTACTTGTGTTAAATGACGCAACATAAAAAAAAATTGATGTGTCACTCAGTTATGTGAGATAGGTGTGAAGGTATTCTGGAAATCTAACGTGACGTCCAGAACGCGTTTTTTTAGAGTGATCGACAGAAGTAGCCAGTGGGCGAATGCCCTGACAGTCAATAGTGCGACCCAGAAAATCGAGTGAGTCAACGCCTATCTGACACTTCTGTATATTGATGGTAACACCATGTTGGCGTAACCTTTCAAATGCCAAGTCCAAGTGTCTAAGGTGAGTTTCCTTATCTGGACTGGCAATGAGGCAGTCGTCTAAGTATGCGTATACAAAGTCGAGACCGCGAAATACTTCGTTGATGAAGCGTTGGAATGTTTGGGCTGCATTCCGGAGGCCGAATGGCATACGTAGAAATTCGAAGAGTCCGAAAGGCGTAATGATAGCCGTTTTCGGGATATCTTCCGTTGCCATCGGGATTTGGTTATATGCTTTAACCAAGTCGATTTTGGAGAATATAGATGCTCCAGATAACGTTGCCGTCAAGTCGTGTATGTGAGGCAAAGGGTAGCAATCAGGAGTTGTTTTGGCGTTCACTCGCTGGTAATCACCAGTGGGTCGCCAATCGTTGCTATCCTTTTTCGGTACCATATGCAACGGGGATGCCCATGGATTATTCGATGGCCGAATGATGCCAAGGGTGAGCATATGATCGAATTCGTTTCTGGCAATTCTCAGTTTGTCAGGGGCCAGTCGTCGTGCTTTAGATGTCACGGGCTGTCCTGAGGTTATGATGTGGTGCATAACATTGCTGGTTATACACGGGAGGTCGTTAGATGGGCAATTCAGTTCCGGATATTTATCAACAATCGGTTGAAAAGTTGGATCGAGGATTGCTTTCATCTTAACGATTGACAAGCTGGGGCCTACGTAAGTTATGCCTTTGATAGACAAACTAGTAGTGTTGTCAATTAATCGTTTACGGCGGACGTCTACGAGCAAATCATGATGATTAAGTAGGTCCGTGCCAATGATGGGCATTGTGACGTCAGCGATTAGGAAAATCCACCGAATAGGTTTGCGTAAACCTACGTTCAGATAGACGTATTTCCGACCATAGGTTGCAATTGGTTTTCCATTTGCAGCCTGTAGGTTGAAGTTAGGATCCTTCTGTCGATCTGCTGCTGTAGCAGGAAGGACGCTGACTTCGGCGCCTGTGTCGACTAGATATCTAGTCTGGCTCATTACATCATGGATGTAAAGTAAGCGGCTAGTGCCACCGGCGACGGTTGCCGCTAACGCGTGCCGGCGGGATAGTTTCCCACAGACTTGGAGGCTTTGCCGAAATCACAAGGTTTTCGACAACATTTCGCTTCCTTGCCATAGGTGTTGTGATACCAACACCAGTCAGGATTTTTGAGAGAGCGTGTGTTGGACTTAGATCGTCCACGTGCACTTTGCCGTTGAGGGGATTTAGAACGACGATAGGAGGAATTGCTAGGCTTGTTTGACCTAAGCATCTGCTGGACGGAGTTGATTAACTCTATCATTGCAGAATCCTTCTTCGAAGTCTGTTCGGTAACAGAGTATACTTCGGTAACTGGCCGTTTCGTTATCTCTAGAATTCTATCTGCAGAGACAGCTAAATCATCTATGAGAACACCGTGAAGTGTCACAAGTACAGTCTGAACTGACTGTGGCAGTTTGGATAAAAATAGTTCTCTAAACAGTCCTTCATCGAACTGACTTTGGCCAATGATCTCTTTCATTCTTGCCAGCATGCTCACGGCTGACTGATCCCCTAACTCGATGTTACGAAATAACTCATCCAGACGTTGTCGATCTGTGAGAACGTTTCTCTTGAGGATGGATGCTTTTAGCAACTCGTACGAGTTACTTACCGACATCTGCAGAGTTACGCACTTGCTGAATTCCCGCGGTAGGGCGTGAATAACTGCAAGGAACTGTGAACGTTGATCAGTTATGCCATGTTCACAAAAATCGGACTCAGCAATCTGAAACCACGTTTCAGCATTATCTGGCCAAAATGGTACTAGCTGAATTGTTTTGGCGGTTGAGCGAATCTGAATAACCTTGGGGCTAGGATCACTCATGA